AAATCCATGAAATCGAGCACATTTTTCATCAGCTACTTCAACTTTTCGGAAAAAAAAACTCAATGAAATTGGTTTATAAGTTGAAGGAAATATTAGTTTTGGGAACTTTTCAAATAACTGTCATATCATTTGTAGACGATTCTCCTTGACTTTATTATAAACTCGTGTAAAGCATATGATAAACATTTAGATTCAGCCAACGTCGTTGAAAACTTGAACTTATAAATGTAACACTTATTATGCGTTTTGGAACATAAACCCGTGAACACATCCATATGAAATTTCTTTTTCTTATACAATATTATTATATTTATTCTCACAACACGATGCTTTACAAATTTCATTGCTTCCATAAGAATTTCTCATAAAGCTTGTAAGTTTTATTTGTGTGAGCTATGCTTTACGTTTTTTGTAGTTAGTTACTGTAGAAAACGATGCAAGGGAGTAACTTTGACAAATATATCATGCCAGTAAATAAAACTGTCATCCATAGCATAACATAGTGATGTCGGCGCTGAAGCGTAGGCCTGATGTGGCCTGTCGCCGATTCTTTTTATTTTTTTCGTGCCTTATTCGCAGAAGATCTAAAATCATGTCATTTGACCGGATCTTTTCATGACTGGCGATAGTTTGAAGTAGCTACTAGACTTCCACCGGGTTCGATAAGGAGCTAGGCATTTCAAATCTGAACATATATTTTTCCATAGCTTTACCTAGTCTGTTCTTGAACGCGTTTATACTTGGAGCGGCAATCCATGATCCTTTCTTTTTGGAAATGCACAGTGAAACCTCGCCGCACGAACTAAATTTGTGCAGAAAGAAACGTGGTTTGTATAGTGTTTTGTTCGTAAAGTGAATCGATTTTACTTATCAAAACTAAAGGAAAAGACTATCATCCGTATTGGGCTTCCCAAGGAGGTAGCGCTTCTACGTACATGTTGTCCTTACAATTTGTTAAGTTACTAGCAAATAACTGTGTTACCCCATAGAAAAATTTTTTTGCTGCTAAAAATGTTGTCCTTACAATTTGTTAAGTTACTAGCAAATAACTGTGTTACCCCATAGAAAAATTTTTTTGCTGCTAAATAAAACGGTTTTCGATTACTTTATAGGAAGCTTTTGAAATTAGTATGAATTATATTTTGAAAGTATTATTTATAGGGATAATTTTGAGTTCGAGTTTAGACTATTAGCTTTTAGAATAATATGTTGACACGATATAAATTGAAATGATGCCTAGTGAGGCAACAGGCCCATGCGTGTACGGGGCAAAGCGCCCATGGTAGGCTCAATACCCCTCGGTGAAGTCTTGCGTTATAAATCATTAGATTTGTCTTAATGAGCTCTTCAAAACTATGACTAGCTTTTTAAATTGCAAATTATACTTCATATTATATGATTTTTTATTTTCCGCCTCACGGCAGCAGTTTCTAGTTATGCGTATTTATGACCTCGTATCGAATTATTGACACATGCCTTGCCAAAAGTTGATTTCAGTCAACACCAATGAGCCAAAAATTGATGAGTTTTTATTGTGTTGGCTGTTATCATGATCAAGTACGAATTCCCTGCACATAATATCTGGATTATGGACGAAACTGGAACGAAGTTTTCAAGTCAAGGATATTTATTTTTATGTCAAGGAAATATTTTTTCACGTCAGTGATAGATTTTTATAGCCACGAATATATTTTTTTCAAGTTAAGGATTTGATTTTTTAGTTGTTGATAAATGAATGAATGTAATATTTTTTATTACATTTTTCTTATTTTGAACTGTAAAGTGGTGTTATATCAGTTTTAAACAAAAAATATGCAATTGTTGTAAAGGGACCAAGGGTGGGCGCCTTGCCCCAAGCCCATGAACCCGTTGCCCCAGGGGTGGGGCAATGGGCCCATTTTGACACTTTTTACAAGAACAGTGTTTCATTAAAAATTGAATAACTCTATAGGCGTGTAATTCACATCACACATTCTTCATTAGTTGCAACTTTTAAAAAAAAAAAAAAACAAAGAACTACCTCGTATAAATTAAAACTTCATCAAAAATTTTGTTTAAAAAACGGGGGGTAACCCTAATTTGATGATTGATAAAGTGAGGGGGTAACATTAACTCCTTGAATTAAAGCTGCCCCTACGATGAAAGGCGCGTTGTTCTGGCAAGCAATAATAAGATCAAGTGAATGAGAGGCTCCTTGTTGAGATATCAAGTGAATGAGAGGCAACCAATAACATGATCGAGTTTCCACTCCCGCGAGCCTCGATGTAGCATTTCGGGCTGTGGCACATGCACGTTTACGTTCAACCCTCTACATAAGGCTTGTCAACAAACACAATTGAGTTTCTGTGAATTAATTTTTTTTTGTTGTTTTTGGCTAGAATAAGAAATTTAGAAGTTGTCAAAGTAGCGCGATAGATCTAAAGCTAAAGTAGCTGATGACGGTGATACCGCATTCAAACCAGAATAACATTTGAGTAATTTTCTTCGTTCAAGCTTGACGGGTTTCGATCACAAATAAAAATACTCATTTCAATTTGCAAGATCATTAATATACTTGATCTGGATCAGCAAAGGACAGTTCCTGCATATAATTAATAATTATAATAATAATTTAATTATTCTCAATAATTATTTTATTATAGCTGAATCTCCAATTACTTCCATACTCACGAGAGAACATGGCAAAGTTAAATCCACATGTGAGTAAGTAAACATTTGCTAAAACTTATCATGCTCACGAGAGAACATGGCAACGTTAAATCCACATGTGAGTAAATATTTACTAAAACATATCATGCTCACGAGAGAACATGGCAACGTTAAATCCACATGTGAGTAAGTAAACATTTGCTAAAACTTATAGCTTCTAGACGAGTTTTCTGACGCCATACCGAACATAAATTGATTAATGAAAAATTGCGACCGAATCGCTATAAAATCAAACGACATTAAAATTCCACATCAGGGCTTTCCCTTCGAATTAATCGCAGAATAATTTCTTTAAAATTTGAATTTTCATCATTCAGAATTTAATGTTACGTACGGTAAGTACAATTTAATTCATTGAAGCGTAGCGGTTTTTATTTTGTCTTTGATAAACTCATTCGTTTTTTAAGTCAATTTTTGAGCATTTAAAGATCAGTTAGCTTAAGAATAACACCGAGATCCGATTTCTTTAAGCCACTGCAAAGGACGACATCTTTCAGTGACGAAGCAACCGAGCTTGAGTGCACCGGGACTCCAAGGGTAGCTCTATCAGCGCAATAAACTTTGAGTCTCGTTGTCGATTATCATCCTTTATTTCATCCATTTATTAATTTCCATTAACTTGTGTATTTCCGTGCTTTTCTAGCAACCCAGCTTAGTAAGAAAATGGAACCACTTGTGAATTTCATGGAACATTGACGTAGATTATTTGCAAAGTTTCTTCTTAAAAATACGGAATACTAACTAGAAGTTCTTAAAAATATGGTGGAAAAGAGAGTCAAAGCGAATAAATATTTATTATAATTTTGAAAGTTGAATATTTTGAAAAAATTAACCCATTTTGCAGTAAAAAATTTCTCGTGTTCTTCTCGATTCAAGCCATCCAGCGTCGACGAAAATCTGTCTTTCCTGCTATCTAGGACGTGTTCCTGAGCACAATCCCAGATCGACCTCCCCTGCAACACTACCAGCGGCGAGAAGCAAGCAACAGCATCGTGCATCAGGTGGCCCAAATGAAGCCGGATGAACGATAATCAGAGGCGGCGATCCATCGTGGCCTGGGACTGCTATGTCCCAAACAAATACTAAGGAAACCAAGAGGCGGCCGTCAACTCGTCTGAACGAAACGCGCAGTCTCGCCGCATCTCCGACAATACTTTGCCGAGATACCTTTTTATGAATACCATTAAACGATAAAATCATGAGAATAATTTAGTAAAGTCAAGTGAACTGTAACAAATTGATTGTAAAGGCTTACTGAATTTACGTAGCTATGAATCGTAATTAAATTGTTTGTTCAGGAAACAGCTGACTTCAGTGACTTCATTACAACGTGAATAGGGCCAGCTTTCTATTTTCGATGAGACAGACGACGTGCTAGTTTTGATCAGCACGCTGAAGAGTTCGGTTGATCCATTTAGCTACCATTCGACTTCGAATTAACATTCATGTAAATTCTCTACGAATGAAGCTAAGAAAATTTATTTAATAGCTTTTGATGGAATATTTTGCTTCCTGCAATTTTAATTGTAATTTTATGGTGACAATCTAAGACACTTATTTCATTTAAAATTTAAATTTTCATAGCGATGGATTTATGCAGGCGAAATGAATGAAATCAGAATTTTATCAATCAGTGTTGAACTTTTTTATTCAAGCTTCGAGCTCGTAATTTTTCTCGATATATTAAGTGCAAGAAGTCAGGTTGTAATAAAGTCGTTGCACAGCATCAATATAATAAATGTTTAGCAATATATTCATTTTGAAAACATTATCTCGAAAGATGAAGGAAACAATGTTGGCTAAATGAATTTAGAAGCTCACTGAATTATTTTCCTTGCAAATTTATTTCCGTTTCAAATGGAATATCCGGAAAAAAATGCCAGCATCGGATTTAAATATTGCTCGTCAATAAATTAATTGTTCATTGCGTCATTCTTAACAATAAAAGTAATAAATTTTTTATCGAAACGGTTGATTTAGGAAGTTTATTATTCATGCATGCGAAGTATGTTTAAGTCTTGTCTTAATTAAACTTGTACTATTTAATTGAAATCAAGTGTGTTTCTGCCCAGATTATTGAAGGCAGTTATCTCGCGTGACTTGAGAGCTATAAACATTGCAGTGTAAGATAGGAGGCCATGTATATTCAGTTTCTTCTTTCCTGTTTATTTTTCATCTATAATATATATCTAAATACATATATATATTTATTTAGTTTGAATAAATTACGACTAATATCGTCATGAGTAAGTTATGAATATTGAGACTTTTGATGATTTGTTTCAGGTGTTTGCCTTCGGACAGTCAAGTAATTTAGAAGAGAATTATCACAAAACATTTGTGATGTTAAGGCACACATGGGCCTCTCTCTCAGTAATCTTGCTGGCCGTTTCCAGCAATTATTGCGAAAGTCTAGAAAATAAGTCTAATAAACTAGCCAATAGAAATACTAGAGACGATATCGCTGGGAGCCCTGTGTCTCCTACCAGCACCGGCATTCGTGATCTAGGTACGAAAAATCAAAATATCATTATTTTTTATAGCTTTAGTAACGCTGTTGAACATTTTCAAGAATTGTTAATTGAAGTCAGACAAATATTATAGCTAGCGGGAGTGAGAACTTCAATTTTAATAGTCAAATGAGAATTCTGAAATATCCAAGCCTGAATCGAAAATCAGTTGACACAATTATTATCGTATCATGCAAAAACTATTCATTGTTCAATCCATAAATGAATGAAGTTACAATAGCCTGGCAAAGCCTCCCATGCACTATCCATATATACATTGGAATAATTTCTATAGACGCCGTTTACAATACTCTTGGATAATAATGTAGCTAATACAATAACGATGACGTCTGCAACTTGGAAGCATGCATATCACTGTACGAAAAATCACCGTTAAATGGTCTCACCGCGTATTCAAGTGGCCGGCTGGCACGTAAAAAGAAACACCGCATGGCCGTTTTTATTAAAATTTAGCACACGGTATCACCGTTTTTCTAGTGGCCGGCTGGCACGTAAAAAGAAACACCGTATGGCCGTTTTTATTAAAATTTAACACACTGTTTCACCGGTTTTCTAGTGGCCGGCTGGCACAAGAAATGAAACACCGTATGGCCGTTTTTATTCAAATATAACACTATAATCCGCACAAAATCTGAAAAAAATAACGGAGAAACGGTTTATTTTCACTTGGCGGCCGGCTAGTAGGACCCCAGTGAAAACATTTTTTACGGTTTTTAAGTCACTTACGCCACTCCCAATAAGTCGCCACTCACAATAAGTCACGCTCAATAAGTCACTTACGCCACTCCCAATTAATTAAACTAGCAAGCCTTTAAAAGCAATCGGTTATTGTGAAAAATCTATTTACTTTTTAATACATAAAACACTACTCGAAAACAATCAATTTTTGCGAATGCCTTTGAATTTGAGTCGTAATAATGACGTCTCTCGTTTAGTTCAGTCTCCGGCGATTTGAGGCTTCCTTTGAAATGGGTATGGTCATTGCTGCTGGAACTTTTGCACTTGTTAAGTTTTATAGTCTTATTTCTTTAGCGAGTTTTCTTATCACGATAATATTGTCAAAAATTGAGAATTTATTTTTATTCTTTGCGCTTTGAGTTTGCTCATTGCAATTAATGCGTGTTACACGCAGACCATTTTCAGTACTATTATTACGTTTACGTGTAGCTCATTCGTTCTTTTAGGTAGTCGACAAACACGAAACTTGTCCATGCATGACAGGCGTCTCATTCGTTTGAAGAAACTCCACTAGGGCATGAATGAATTGGCTGGCATAGATGAGAAATTATTGGTTGTCAATATGACAATATATTTCAAATCCTCAGTTGTCATAAAATATTGGCCAGGCATAGTCAGATTTTCCTCGACCACATTAATAACACGACTGAAGTAAAAAGTCACATAGCTAAAATTTTAATTGGTATGTCTCCGAGACTGAACGGCCTGACGTAAATAGTGCTATAAATCCATGAGCAAAAAATTAAAGCCATTCAAAAACATAATAAACAGCGTGAAAAAGTTGTCCCCTCTCTGTTTAGGAACACGAATAAAAACAACGTTGAGTCCCGTTCACTGGGTTTTATTGCGCAAATAATGAGAAAGAAAATAATCGCATCAAATTAAAAAGGCTTATATATTTCAGGAAGTTTCGTCAAAAGGGATGCACCGCTCAATGGAATCATGAATTTGCTTAGTGTGCCGCGCATGATACTGAGCACGGTCGAATTCGTCAACCGGATCTCCGATGTGGTAAAGAGTTCAATATTCCCTGAATCAATGCACGTTTTGAAATGTAAGGGAAAACAGGTTTTGAAATGTAAGGGAAGACACGTTTTGAAATGTAAGGGATGAATAATTAAGGTCAATAAAAGTCATATTATTTTGAAGGCATAATTTTCGTCAAAGCTCATTATCATCAAACTTATAAATCACTCTTTTGCTCAGCCCTCAGAGTTTCAAAACTTTCCAACCGCACTCAGCTTTTAACTGCACTTTAACCCTGCTAGAGAGTGCTGGAATTTTTGTTCGAATTTTTGTACGAAACATCTTTCCAGCAATAATAATGTAAACTACGTCATATAAAAATACATCATATAAAAATGAAATACGTTATAAAATTTTAACCGAATGAATTCAAAGTTATATTTTCCAATCCCAATGCAGTTTTGCAAAACTTTATTATTCATCCACTGAAAACAGAACATCTGGTTTAAAAAAAAATATTATATATAAGCGTTTAACTAATCCGCATACATTTTCAATCCAATGCTTCAAACAACAGAGTAAATTTTGTATCATATAGTGATCATTTTCCTTCAATATTTCCAAACTACCAACACTTAAGCAGCTTCTAGGTGCAACAAGACACGATACTGAACACTATAGGTTGAGTTACAGTCTATAGTTTCTTTACAAAATTTGCTCTTCTTCAAGTAAATTTAATAAACTAATTAATGGAAGAGAGCAGATAATTTCAAATTTCAGGGGAGGATAGCATAAACCAAAAACCAAACGATTTGACATAAATTTTATTTGCCTTAAAATTACTATTTATGAGGATTTTAATCTACGAGTACATAATAACATCAGAGCAAATTCAAATATTCAAATTTGAGTTTGAATTCAGATTTCCGGCGGGTCGAGTCCCTTCGGCGACCTCGACTTCGTTTCGGACATCGATCGCGCGGCTTTGGCTTTACACCAGGAATTCACACGGCGCTTCGACCAGCTGGAAGCAAGGGTTAGAGTCTATTTATATAGAATAGAATAGAACAGAATAGAATAGAATAGAATAGAACAGAATAGAATAGAATAGAATAGAGTAGAATAGAAGTGTCGGCACTGAAGAAATAGGCCCATGGCCGGTTGCCGATTCTTGTACCTTTCGTGACTTGATTCCACAAGGAATCCGGCCTTTGGAACCCGATCTTTCCATAACTGACGATTGATTGAGATAGCTGCTGGACTTATTGCCTGGTCCGTAAGGTGCTAGGCATTTTAAGACTGAACATATGCTCCTGCATAGCTTCGTCCAGTCTGTTCTTGAAGATGTTCATACTCGGAGCGTCAACGATGCTATCAGGGTGGCTGTTCCACATGTCGGTGACTAAAAGCGATCATAAATGTTGTCGCATGGATGTATAGATGCATATAATTATTAGAAGGTGTCCGCTTTGGTTAGAAACAGATTGTGTTAGAAATCATGAAAAAATAAATAAAAAAGGCACGGAAAAACCAAGCATTAAGTTTTAATGTAAATCTGAGGCAAATTTTATTTGAACTCAACCATGAATATTATTTTGCCAGGTTGATTCTGTTTTATTTTTTTTTTGCACATATAATGGGAGATTTGATTTCCAGATAATTCCATCAAAACGATTGTCCAGATAATTTCAAAAGAACGATTGTCCAGATAATTTCAGTAGAATGAATTTAATGATAATTCTAACAGAATGATTGTCTTGATAATTCCTACGGAATAATTGCCCAGATAATATCAATAGAATGATTTTCCAGGTAATTCCAACAGAATGATATTCCTGATGATTTCAATAGATAGTTTCAACAGAATGATAGCAGAGATAATTCCAATTAAATTATTGTCTAGAGATAATTTCAATAGAATGATAGTCCAGATGATATCAATAGTATGCTTGTCAGGATATTTTAAGCAAAATAATTACCCAGATAACTTCAACAGAATGCTTTCCTATAGTTAACTTCAATAGAAATATTGTCTAGAGGATTTCACTTGAATGATTGCAAAGATAATTCAAATAGAATGATTGTCCCGACGATTTCAATTGCAAGATTTCCAAGATAATTTTTATCGAATGATTGCTCAGATAGTTTCAAAAGAATGATTATTCATAAAAGTGCCAAATGATTATTGTTCATATAACTTAAAATAGATTCTCTGCACATAAATTGACCTCGCTTATATGTATAGTTGTAACGTTTGATTTATTTTATCTAACTATATACGTGTATTCTGGCTCCAGAAGTATTGAATAATTTTTATTTTAATAATTTTTGTCTCCAGAAATATTTCTTCGTTTTTAAATTATTCATGAAATATATTTACTTACGTGCTAAGCTTCGCATTTCAGGTGCAGGGTATACAGGATACGGTTGAGGAGCTACGCAGAGGTATACCCATTCTGCTGCGCAGCTCGCAAGAAGCCTTAACTCTCAGGAGCTACACGCGCAAAATCAACTCTTACTACATGCGTTTCGCACTGTTAAGAGAACACGTCGATGAGGTTCAATCAGATTATATTGCATTGAATCTTTTATTATTTTAATCATGTGCCACCCTATTTTAAGGAGAAATTTATCACATTTGCTCAGGCGTCATTTCTTTCCGTTTGAAGGTACCTATTAACAAAATTAGACATTTCGTTTTTGTGCATTACGCTAAACTATGAACGATGAGAAATTTAAAACCAGCAGGTTCAGAACTACACTTGGCTTGACTTCGCCAAAAATGCGGTTGCGTTCGATGACAACTCCATCTTGAACACACTCATCAACATTCATGGCATGGTCGCTCCCGGTTACCCATTTTCGGTAAGGTTATCATTAAGCACCTAAATTTTTTGTGATTGTGATTAGAAATGGGTTTTTCTTATCGCCTAATATTTTTATGATGAACAATCGGATTAATTTATCTTTCGGTTTTACGTTACGTTATGGTTCCAGATATTTATTATTTATCGTTTGTCAGGTTGGTTGCCGAGTGGCAATTACTTTAACCGTGCGTATAAGTAGGTTCTCGACCGGCCTTGATGAAGTTGTCAACATCACGGAGGGAAACAACTTCATCAAGGGAACACGGAGGGAAAAATGTCAACACATGAGGAAATTAAACATTTCCTATATTATAGACAAAACTATCCTATTACAGGGCTGGGTCACATTCGCTTCTGGCTACCCACTTTCTGTAATATTATCATTAAGGACCTAAATTTTTGTGATTGTGCTGCTGTGGTAAATAGAATAACATTCGTGTGCTCTTCACATAAAACATCATTATACCAAGTTTTAACAGAAAAAATCACTAGCTTTCGATCGCAAGACTCGGACACACACTGGTGCAAATTCAAGGTCTCGAGTCTACTTAATATTTAAGTTGTTGAGTTTAAATAAGGGTTTTGATGTTGCGTTAAACTTCTAACGTCAATGCCAATCAAGTTCTCATAGAAATAATGTCGCTGGCCATCAATACTAACAATCTGTTTTTTTAACAATCTGAACCGGAACATTCGAAACAGCTTCTTATTACTTATGTGGTAATTTTAGTTCTGAACAGCATTATACGGTTTTTACTGAGGAAAGGTGAATTATGTAGAGTTACCGCTGAGTGTCGACCCATGTTTTATTGACATTACGTTGCTCGATTTCTGTTATTGCCATGTTTGCAAAGCCAGATAAGCTCTGGATATAAGCCANCGCACAGAGGAGGTCCTCCACAAGTCTGCGGATGAACTTTCTGCGAAGACGGGACGTTTTAAAAGGAAGATTGTCAAGAAGCCTCAGGTTTACAGGAATCTTGAAATCATTTTCAATGTAAGGATTTCCATTTAGAGCTATTATTCATTTGGCTTAATTGATGGTTGATTTGTGCAAAAATATTTTGCAGAAAATAGCTAATATATAAGTTAGTATCCACGACTAACAAGTACTCGGATAGACTGAAGTCAAATGCTGGAATATGCAACTGTTCAAACTGATGGATTTAGAAGGGTTTTCATCAGATATACCATCTGATATCTGAAGGGTTACCATTAGAAAAATACCATCAGATATATATAGACGCGGTGTGCAAAAATTTTACCTTGTCTAAAAGAATAGAAACATTGCAGATCAGAGAAAATTAGAAAATCATTTGATAATATGAAATTTTAATTTGATTGAAAGAGACTATTTACATCAATGCCAAAAAACTTTGACTGGTCGAACAACAAACTTCATGCGTGAGTAGAAAATTTATTCTAGAATATTTTCTAAGTAGAATTGTCATTGAAGCATTGAATCGTTATTTTTTCAGCGGGGTTTTGTGAAGAACAAATGGGGTGGACGATTCGTTGAACAAAACAACGAAAATTTTTCCGTTAAAAAACATTCAGTAAGATCAAGTCGTATCAGAAGAGAAAACGTACTAGGCACCCTAGACGTTCTGGAACAAGCTGCCAAGGTGAGACAATAGCCGCTAAAAGACAGATATTTCATAAATTTGAATATGTTCATTCTTATATGGCTTCACATTGAAGTCCTTGATTCTCAAAAACGCCGTTCAAATAACTCGTCATGACATAATTTTTTATAAACGTAATGGTTAAAGGATTACTTAAGTTATACCTAACGAGCTGCAAAATCAATTGCCCTAGAATTTAACATGTTTGAAACGTTGGCCTCATTTGGCCATTTTCAGTAAAATGCTTTGTCTCGTAATAATTTTTTAAATTAATTCAGATCCCGATTATCTCGAGTGAGAGAAGAATGTTGCCACTTCAAATAGTTTTCCATACAAAGTAAGCGTCGTTCCTCACAGCCTGAAGTGCAACGATTCTGATGTCCATTATACAACAAACCCGATCCTCTTGATTTTCAGTACTACTCGTGCTTCTTGGATCAAAGCAGCCAACAAATGCTTTTCAAATTGTTCTCCCACGTGACCCTCACCCATGCAAGAGGTTTGGTCATGATCGTTTCAGCCTACGAGATCCTGGCCAAGTCTGGATTAGGTTCGGACATCAGAATTTAAGTTGACTTTAATTTCGATAATTCTGCAAGATCTTTATCCAGGAAATCAAGATATATGAAAAAAATTCTTATTAAAAACCAGAGTACTATGGCAAAATTTGTATAAAATACCATGATAAAAAATGCAGGGAGCACATAAAAAAATAAATATTAGCATCGCTTTTCAAGCAAACGGAAAGACAGGGCAACAGCAAACAGATAAATTTATAAAAAATAAAGATTAGATAGATAAAATTCAATAAACTTCTGGCTATATACGACACTTCCAGCTGCAGCTACGACTGCCGTAGAAAAAGAACAATTGGCAAAAAGTTATGCCAATCATAAAATTCTAAATTATTTGTAATTTAACATTTGTTTTAAAATTTCAGGAAGGTTCGAAACAGAAATGGCAGCAGCACGGAAGCTCTATGACCACTTTATCTATAGCCTCACCAAGACAGCTCTGAAGTGCACATCTCGTGCCTCGAACTCCTTCTCTCGATGTGATCCAGTAAACCACAAGCTCGGGGAGACATACGAAATGTTCACTGAACTTCTTCAGGTTAATCAGCATGCATTTATGAAAGCTTTATATTCATTTATGAAAACAAAATATAAATTAAAAATTAGATCAGTACTCACTGCAGTGAGTGACAGAGCGCATTTTCTCGTCAGTCCGTGAAGTCACGGACAGACAGACGGACGGACGGACATGACGAGCACAATAGCGCCTTTTTAGCGCATTTTCTCATTTATGGAAAAAAGCAAAAAAAATCGACATGAACGTAGAATATGGATATCAGGAATTTGCTGCATATTCAAATTAAATTAAAACCGAAGGTGGAAACATCAGTAGTTCATAAAGCAATTCATAACTAGACGGAATAATAGGTACATCGATCATGTAACTAGATCTACTAGATGTTTTTAGAGCAATAAGACATTACCGCATATATATTATCGAGTTCGTGTTCGATTTGTATTGGTCATATTCACAATGCAAAATTTAATTGAAAGTAGTGTGACATGTTACCAATACAAATAAATATTTATTTATAAGTGAATCTTAATGAACTCGAGGACATCAGAACATGGAGCTGACATTCTCATAATTCTATACATGCACGACAATTTAAAAGTTTTTCTCATATATTTTACTGTTATTCATACCAAATGAAAAGCAATTGGCTGGAATTTTCATACTACAGCATTGAATCGTTCGCCATTGAAGGCGATGCGCTTATCTGAAGTTCATATACTTGATACAGCTTGATTACATTGAAAAGAATATCTAGTTATACTGACAGCCGTAATACTCAACGGTCCACAACCAATTTTTACTCAACCGTCCCCAACCGCGCTGACTTCGATTTTCATTGAATAGCAGCACATTTCTCCACATTCATAATGACCCTATCGTTATCTATCATTAACTCAATCTGGATTTGCTGTGATTATTTGTATAAAGTCAAAAGTATCTAATGTCTTCGTTATAAAAATAGCTCAGGTAATGTACCGGCTCTGAGCACTGCCGAGGAGCACTCCTGTCTCTGCATGGTCGCTTAACAAATTTTTGACTCACGCGCTGCCGTGAAATGATACTGATTGGCGGAAAATTTTATGCGCGAAACTCTAGCAGTGAACGAGAATCTGGCATGTTAAAAGAACAATCTGATAGCAAAAGTTAAACTGCAATCCAATAAATTATACTTTGAGCGAGATAAGAATTAAGAATGATTGTAACTGAAAAGAATAACTGAAAGAAAATAATTTTATTTATTTGTATGATTCAGAATTCAATGCCCTTTATTTAATTGTGAGAATCTTTATGCCAGGGCCACTTGGAGCTTGAGAGTGACATGAACGAACGGATGTCATGTTCGCAAAATTGCGCGCACTATACGACTGCTGAAGCTATGCACTGCTTCTCGCCAACACAACAGATCTGTGGGACCCAGAAAAGATGTCACGGCACCCTGCGTGACTGTCAGTAAGTGAATGCCAATTTCTCGTCGAACAGCATATAAAATTCATGACCATCAGTTATGACCATCATGTTATAAATTCATGACCATCAGTTATGACCATCATGTTATAAATTCATGACCATCAGTTATAAATTCATCATTGATCAAATAATTATAAGTTTGAGATCTTCGTTGCGGTCGGCAACTGATTTTAAATCTCAAATGTACCAAGAATTTAACAGCAAAGAAAAACCTAGGCAGAAACTTTACTATATTCACTATTGAAAACGTTTCAGAGACTAGCTCCATCAATTGGAAATGCAGTAATATGGATATAAATCAACGATGAATAAAATTATTCGTCAGACATTTCCTTGGAATTTCCTTTTGAATGCAACTAATACAACTTATTAACAGCTAATATTTAGCATTAGTTGGTGGTACTCTGCAAGTACCATGGTGGTATCCCGCCACAGTACATGACTATTAAGGGGTCCTTGATTAAACAAATTTCGTAATTATATCAACTGATTAATAAAACGATCGCATTTATAAGCTTGCTTTGATGAATGATATGCTTTTTTTGCATGTGAAGTGAATTGATACCGAAAAGAAGCCCGCATTTATACGGAGATGTACCACTGGATTCTTAATTGTACAGACGTTGCATGGGCGTGCTATAGCGTCCAGCTAGGAGGCGTCTATAATGCGCAAGCTATAACGTCCAGCTAGGAGGCGTCTATATTGCGCGTGCTATAGCGTCCAGCTAGGAGGCGTCTATAATGCGCGTGCTATAGCGTCCAGCTAGGAGGCGTCTATAATGCGCGTGCTATAGCGTCCAGCTAGGAGGCGTCTGTAATGCGCGTGCTATAGCGTCNTATAGCGTCCGTCCAGCTAGGAGGCGTCTATAATACGCGAGCTATATATTGTCCAGCTAGGAGGCGTCTTCCCGGGGCCTTATATGCTTTGGGCCTGAAGTGCAGCTCCTTAGCAGCTTGCAGGCTCGCTAAACTTGGCCAAGCCCACACTTGTCATACTATCAGGAGACTATAAAGTCGTTGAAAGTCGGCAAGGTGATTCTGAATAGTCGCTAGTTTTTAATTGGGCGTTTGAGCAGATCAACTTTAATTATGCCGAGTGTAACGAGTCATGCGGAGAATCATGGGTGATACTTGCTATTCTTAATAAAAATTATAGTGACATAAATGATATGAACTGCTGTACAAAACTGCAGCTTGTCCTGCCCAAAATTTCAGCTATCATAGAAGCTGTTTCAAAATCATTGTACAATCTAAATTATATATAAGTTAAGAAGCACCAGATAATGTTGGGGGAAACATATTAGCAATTGATGATCATTACCTCGCTGCAACGAACAAATTAATTATAAAAAATTAAGTATGAAATTTTTTCAGATACTTATTTGCATAATACTAAATCTGTTGGTCTTTCCTTGCTGGAAATTCAATGCCAACTTCCGAGAAAATGTTCCAATCGGATTCATGTACGATGTACCTGACTTTGATGCCGAATGAAATGTTAGTAAACCCTGCGGAAAAGCAAACTGCATTCAACACTCTTCTGAAAACCAACGCCAAAATCTTTATAAAACACAGTGAGCAGATTGAGATTTCACACTATAGAGGTAAAATATTTTTTGTAATTAGATTATTAAAGGATGTATATGTGGGAATATAATTTTTCATATATGTCTATGCTATAGCGTCCAGCTAGGAGGCGTCTATAATGCGCGTGCTATAGCGTCCAGCTAGGAGGCGTCTTCCCGGGGCCTTATGCTATGGGCCCGAAGTGCAGCTCTTTAGCAGCTTGCAGGCTCGCTAGACTTGGCCAAGCCCACACTTGTCATACTATCAGGGGACTATTAAGTCGTTGAAAGTCGGCAAGGTGATTCTGACTAGTCGCGCTTGACCTGCCGAAAATTTCAGCTATAATTAAAGCAGCTTCGAAATCATTGTACAATCTAAGTAGTTATATATAAATTAAGAAGCACCGGATAATGTTGGGGACACATATTAGCAATTGATGATTATTCCCTCGCTGCAACAAAAAATTAATAATTCCAAAATAAAGTATGAAATTTGTTTTCAGATACTAATTTGCATAATAATAAATCTGTTGGTCCGCTCTCGCTGAAAATTCAAAGAAAACTTCCGCGGAAAAATTCCAATCTTATTCATGTTCCTGTCTTTGATGCCGAACACAATGTTCGTAAACACTGCGGAAAAGCAAACTGCATTCAACACTCTTCTGAAAACCAACGCCAAAATCTTTATAAAACACAGTGGGCAGATTGAGATTTCACACTATAGAGGTAAAATATTTTTTGTAATTAGATTATTAAAGGATGTATATGTGGGAATATAATTTTTCATATATGTCTTTTATTAATAGATTGTTTTCAGTGCGAGAGTATATGTTCATGTCTAGTTATACCAAATCTAAGTAACAAATTGTCCGTAAGAAATGTAGGCGTGAACTTCTGGTATCAATTTTTAGCGCATTTTCTCATTTATGGAAAAAAGCGCTATTGTGCTCGTCATGTCCGTCCGTCCATCTTTCTGTCCGTGACTTCACGTTTTCGTCGACGAGAAAATGCGCTCTCTGTCACTCACTGCAGTGAGTACTGAGTTATATTTTTTTCCATAATGAGAAAATGCGCTAAAAATGCCTTCAATAAAAAAATCGACATGAACGTAGAATATGGATACCAGGAATTTGCTGCATATTCAAATTAAATTAAAACCGAAGATGGAAACATNTCCACATCGTCGTTATGACTGGATCCGGTATGGCAATGGTGAGAGTCTTGTATTATTTATCGTTAATTGTTTAACAGAATCTCTGCAAGCATTTACTTTCTAAACGAGTTTTCAGAATTCATATTTCCCCTAAAAATTTGATTGGATTTCGGTTCTTTTATAAAAACAATTCTTTTTCAAAAACTTGGTCTATATAATGTCAAGTTTCTATCCAACATCTTACTTTATTTTCGTTTTACCAATATTTACACGGCACAAGATTTTTTAATATTCGAATTTGAAAATTTTGGGACAAAAGTTTCACCATAATTGTTTTTTGTTTTGCGAAAAACTAATGTTGTGCACTCACGACCGAAGTTAGTGTTTCAATTGTTGCTGAACTCGTATTGTTGCTGAATTTTTTCAGTGCTGTTTTATCATTGTTCTTTGTTCTTGTCATTTTTTTATTTATGTCACTGATTTAGCTACTCCAAAACAATTTTTTCCCGTTGTTTTATTAGTTTTTTAACACAATCGCCTCCAATGTCGATGAATTTGCAGTCTGTAATCGACAAATGCAGACTCGCATTTTCTACTGAGTAAATTTATATACAATGTGTTAATTATTCCTGTAACTTAAGTCTGTAAACAATTTTTTATCAATCATGCATGTTCATAGCAAGCGTTATATATTCGACACTTCCATGCGACCTCTATAGCTCTCAAAACTTCATTTACCAACAGTGATTTTTCGTCAGTAACAAGTAGTTTGGGAATCACGGCTTGCGACGGTCACGGCTTCAGCGAAATCATGCTTCATCCTTCAGTAACCCGTAATTTGGTTGGTAAAAGCGACTGTCGGTCTATGTAAGTTGAAAAGTAAAGCTTATTGCTTGCTATGCTACCATCGTCGACTTGTTCGATCTTTAATTGTATGAAACACGACCCTGATGTTAACTAAGTTTGTTTTTCTGCTTTCCTGCATTCTATTCTTTTGGTTTAACGTATTTTCATGTTGAATATTTTACCGAAATATTACCTTAACAAATTTAAGTCGAAATCTTATAAAAGAGTATTCTTTGATTTCGAAACTTTCGTAACAATTAATCACCGGGGCTATGGGATTTTCTCATCTTAGATTGTCAACATCATCATCATCTTCATGCAGTATGTTTTAGTGTCTTTAAATTAAATGCTTTATTCGTTCTTTAAATGCTTATTCGTGCAATGTTACTCATGTTCACACTGCGATGCATTTTTTATATTGCATTATTGCCTCAGGTGTGTTACACGGATCGCATGGCGCTTGCGAGAACGAAAAGACTGCGAATGGATGGTATGAGTTCCTTACTTTCTATTTCTGCACGTACTGCGTATGTCTTTGTGACGACCCTTCATCAGAGACAACAGACCGCTTCATCAGTCTTATTCCTATCGAGACTGACGTCCGCAATGGCATGGTAAATACTCTCCTTTGATTCATTTTTGGATTTATTTACTTTCAATTATTTTTTCAATCCAATCGAAGTCTTTGATTTTATTAAAATTTTGTAAGAAAATACTCGTTACAGCAATAATATATTTAATTGAAGATACCATAAAATGAGTGCGTATAAAAACCACGAGGTGAATCAATTGATAATTTTCCACTTCATTTTTACACACTGTCAAACAACACTAAGATTTATCTCATGCCGCAATGAAATCGGTGATGAATTACGTCTCATTCATCTAAATAATTTCACTTGCACGCATAATAGATCCAGTTTTTTAGATGTTTCCGCGCGGATTGCATTATAGAATAGAAAAGAAGTGTCGGCACTGAAGAAATAGGCCCATAACCTGTTGCCGATTCTTGAATTTTTCGTGGCTTGATTCACAAGGGATCCAGCCTTTGGAACCCGATCTTTCCATAACTGACGATTAATTGAGATAGCTGCTGGACTTATTGCCTGGTCTGTAAGGTGCTAAGCATTTCAAGACTGAACCATGATTGAGAAATGTACAGGACACCGAGTCTATGAACTGTTGATTTACTTTTTCTAGGTGCTGACGGGAGTGAAGTTCACCAAGCACCAGCGTATGATTATGATGCAAGTGGAGCAAGGGAGAGCCTTGCCTCAGGGACAAGTGGAGCCTTCGTCTCGCCAGTGGATACCATTGCCCGACGAGACCCTGTAGATATAACTCATTACTATGTTCATAATAATCGTCATGAGATTATATTCTTAACTTCTTCAGTCAATATTATAAAATGTACGCACTTATAAAATCTTAAATGTTGTTCAGACGCAATCAATATTCTTGTCTTGTGAGAATTTTTAATGGTGCCCGTTTCTTTGGTTGTGTAAGTCGACTTTTTCGAAGTAGTTAACTGCTCATTATCAATATTTAGAATTAACATGGCATTTTAAATCACTCGAGAAATTTTGTCTTAAACCGTCAAGACCTTTATGTACCACGAGAGGTTTAGAGATAAATGTAAAACAATGTTACGTATGATAAATCTATTTTCTTTTTAAAAAGCAAAAATGTGAAAGTTAATTTGTCGCTTTTTCCCCAGGAGTGAAAATTTGATGCTGAACATTGTGACAATAGATTAAGTTTGAAAAAATTTCGGTCGTAATCATTTGTTCGATTTTGTTCTTCACGCTAATAAATCATGCAATCTAATAGATAAATGTGTTTTTTATAATCTGTTTAGATTTACGTCCAACAAAATTCTCTCACAATTTTGTTCAATGAAGTTCCAACTTGAAAACGGATGTACTGGTGCAATCACAACCTATATTAAAGAAATAATTTATTAACAATATCACTGCGAATTGTTTACAGAAACTCGGAATGAAACCCTACTCAATTAATTATCTGCCAATAATTATAGGAGATTTTTGGTGGAGGGCATTCACTACCACACCTTGACGTACGAGGCTCGAACCATGGACCTGGATGACTTGACTGCACCTGCCGACCACGTCATCACCGGCACGCGCTTTCATGTTGTGGATTCTTCTCTTAAACTTCAGGTGAGCCTAGACACGATATTTATACGATTTATTTGTCGAATAGAAAATTAAAATACATTTTTTGAGGTTGTCATTTATCAATAATATGTCTGCATCTCATAAAATGACAATTGGGAAGTCTCTAGCGACATGTATAAACATACAAGTTTTAGAGGGGTAATTGTCCCTGTATAGTTGATTTATTGAAGTATTCTTCAACAATATAAATGACATTGAAATAAGATAAATATCTAAATGACATGATTCACTTGTTAGAAAGAAAATATAAAATTATCGGGACATAATATGGAAGAAAGTTTGAGCAAGCGCGACGTTCACGTGCCTACAAAGTTGTGTGAACTTATGCTCGATACTGTTTAGCTTTTGTTTGTTTATTTTTGCATTAAATGGGGTTCACTCACCAAAGTGGGGTTCACAAATAAGGTTCGCACACAAAAACACCGGGCTTTTCGTGTTGGTCCACCTTCCATGTTATGTCTAGTGAATTAGAATTTTTTACCAATGCCTGTCCGCTAAATAGGTTTTCGTCTCACCAAGCGTGTACACAAATTTAGGCATTTTTTTCGATAGATATATTGATGTTTTCCCCCAGTGGGCTAACAGGAACATTGTTTATTGTTCATTTCCATACTTTGACAATGCATCTGAGACTACATATGTATGTCAAAAGCGTTGGAGGCACTATTCGGGAAATATCTTCCGAATGTCAATCTTCTTGCATTGTTGGAGAATAATTTTAAATTTAGCTCTTTGCTCGGGTATAAAGATACACTTCCTGTACTTATGCCTAAGTCTTCACTTAGAATACATTTGGGCGCAAAGCGCATGAAAATAAGTCGGTTATGATGTGACTCAACTTTGATTTTAGACTGGCTTAGCATAGAGGGAGGAGTTATCGAACAGGAAATCTACTTCCACATCCACCTCCTCCAGCAGTGCGAATTCATACCGAGCATCCCAATGTCCCGGTACTCGATAGTGACTTTAGAGTTTTGGCTTCCACAAACGGTGTTTCTGACTTAAGAGTTATACAATACTAGAATATTTTCAAAAAGAAGCCTAGTTTTAATACCACGTTCAGTTTTAATCCTCTTCATGTTGTAAATAGATAGTCCCGTCTGCTTGATTCAAAGTCGAGTTTATTTTTAGTCATCAAATTAGGTTACAACATCTGCGATGTGAATTTAGGTTTACTCATTGATTGCACTTATATTCTAGAATCATCGCACTGATGAAGCTGGACTCCGTAACAATTTGTTGTAAAAGGCTATGGGAATTCCTGTACCTTTCTCTTTGTCTCTAAATTCTTTGTTTTATAGATTCTGAATTTTTCACTAAACATATAAATAATATGATGCACATTCAGATCCGAGTGACTCCAATCAACTTCATGGATGGTTCGTTGAGGCCCGAAGATAGCTTCTGGGCTAACAGCCACTCTGAAGAAACTACTCGCAAGAAGCTTATTCTTCACAAGCCAGATGACCCAACCAAGCTACAAATTCCCTCCCGTGTTGTCAGTCACGGTGGCAATTATGTCGAGTTTCAGGCAACAGATTTGGAATCTGACGTGTCTCAAATGACGGTGCCGTATTTTGACACACAGCCCGTGAGCACCTCACCCCCTACCTGGATCTCCGGAGTGAGTTTATACTACAGAGGCAGAGATCTCAGCGGAGGGTTCATTGGTCTTCAGATTCAAACCTATAACGTCTCCAAGGTTCTCGAGGAGGCTATCGGTAAAGTACTCGATTCTTGATCACACCGGCACGTTTGATGTCACTCGTAATCGTCCATTAACGCAAGGCTATTGCTCCGTGATTCAAAAAGAAAAAATGCGCAAATTATTTCTCATTTAGTTCCGCCTTGCTCATATTATTTCTCATTTATTTCAATGTTGCCTGTTCAGTGTTGATTTTCTGGCTCATTATCCTCTCTATTGATGCATATATCTGATAGTTGAATTTCCTATATGCTAGTACTTTTCAAGTCCTAAACTGTATATGACTAGAGAGCAAATATTGTTTGCGCGTTCATTACGGGCGTGTTCATAACGGCCTAAGAAGTTAAGTGCTCAAAGCCATAGCGCCGGATGTCCACAGCCACAAAATAAGCTTGCCAAAGGTAAACATGGCCATACTGCATTTGGCCAAACATCATCTGGCCTAACCTATACGAGCTGCAACCTTTCTCCACCCAAAACAAACCTGAGCGGACCTAACCTAAACTCATTGGCTGCAAGAAGTTAGAAAGGTGGTGCAAGTGTGCTGGTAGAGTTAGTCATTGGCTGCAAGAAGGTTGTGAGCCGGGACAGCGTGAATAGGTTAGGCCAGAAGAGGTTAGGCCAGAAGAGGTTAGGCCGGAGTACCTAGGTACAGCCGAATGGGGAACTGCCTGCTTATGAGCGAGCATGCTTAAGCAGGGGCTGATGACCTACGGCGCTATTATCTTTCGGCAGTGTGTCGCTTGTCTAGATTACGGAGTTCAAGCGTAGTCTGCGGCTTCTAGTTCTAAGGCTGAGTAAAGTTAACGCATGCTGAAGCTAGGCGTTGGCTCCTGGGCTTATTTAAGAGTAAAATTTGTGGCCTACGGCTGCGCCCCCTTAATACCGAACTCGATTTTCGTCGTCAAATGTTTCTATACACTGTTCGAGAAAACGGTCCCACCGGCGTTCTATAGTGGCCGGCCGCCACGTGAAAATAAACCGTATATCCGTTCTTTTCAGAAGCTGTACTGGTTTTTAGTATTAAATTTGAACAAGAACGGCCATACGGTATTTCCTTTCACGTGGCGGCCGGCCACTAGAACGCCGGTGAGACCGTTTAACGGTGATTTTTCTTACTGTGTAACAAGCTTATTGATCGACGATTCCTTCTCCTTTCATACATAGTTAAACGCTAGAATTCTTTGGTATTTTTAGTATAATCTTATCATTCATGATGCTCCTCCAATCTTCGTACGATTCAATACATAAAGATCCTAAGCTGATGTTTTCAGCACACAGATTGTTCACGTAAAAATTGTGGGTCCAATTTCTCCGCGGAAAGGAGGAAGTTACCACGAATCTGAATCTGATACTGTTAAGATACGAAAATGTGTTTTTATTTTCATGATTATACCTATATCCATTCTACTTGCCTATAAGCTTTGCAGCTCATGCTTTTGCAGCGTTCTGGTTTCTTTAGATTTAAGTAACTACGGCTCTTTACATGCATTGTTCGTCGACATNCATTAGTTTGGGAGATATTACTTGATAATTGAATTTGTAGATTGGCCGTGAGACCGGCCACGAGTCCGGCCGTAAATTTGCCCAAGACGTACTAGGTTTCTAGTGCTCAAACAGTTGAAATAGCTTAAAAACATATTGGTTCACTAAATGGGGTTCTATTTGTAAAAGACACATTTGTGTTTAAACTTTATCTTCTAAAATTGCAGCGTACTAAATTTCAAGAAAGAGGCATATGTTTTTATATATGTCTGTGGGGGGCGATAGAAATTCACTAGAGAGCCAAAGGGGGCGCCAGCCTGAAAAAGTTTGGGAACCACTGCACTACACGACCGTTTGGCCGGCATGCCGGTCGCCTTCTAGATGGGGGTTGTCGACTTGAAAGAGTACGGCCGGAATAAAATTACCCTTTCCACTTTTTTGGATCAGAACGATGCCTTATTGGGTACCTCAAATATAAGAGGAAGAATTCCTCTTCACTTTATTGTAAGGACAACATGTGCGTAGAAGCGCCGACTCCTGGGGAGGCCCAATACGGATGGGAGTCTTTCCCTTTAATTTTTTGGGGAGAATAGACTCACTTTACGAACAAAATACTATACAAACCACGTTTCTTTCTACATGAATTTAGTTCGTGCGGCGAGGTTTCACTGTACATTTCGAAAGAGTATGGATGAGTTTTATTTCCCGGGATGATATTTATGTCGAAGTCGCTTCATTGCATCGTTTTCTCTAGTAACTAACTAAAAAAAAACGTAAGAGCTCATACACATAAAAGTTACAAACTTTATCAGAAATTTCCGACTGTCTTATGGAAGCAATGAAATTGGTAAAACATCGTGTTGTGAGGACAATAGTATAAGAATAAGAAATTTCCTTGTATGTGTTCACTGGTTTATCATCCGGAACGCATATTAAGTGTTACATTTATAAGTGCAAGTTTTCAACGACGTTGGCTGCAACCAAATATGTTTAATATGAAAAAAAAAATAATATGAAAAGTTTCTAAAACTATTATTTACTTCAACTTAGATACGAATTTCAACGAATTTATAACTGTCGACGACATGCCACATCAGGCCTACTCTTCAGCGCCCACATCGCTATATGTTGTGTTATTAGCTCTGAGAATTTAGAAACTCAAGAGCACCGGAGGCACTCTCAGCAGCTTAAAACTATACAAGATGTCAGTAAAAAATATCTGAATGAAAAAATTTAGATGTTCTGAAACTGTGGAACGCTCTATTCGTCAATAATAATAAAATAATAGCGGTTTCAGAGTTTAGTAGGCCGTATAGGCCTGTTGACGATTCTTAAAATCGCAGAACATTCACAGCATTTTGCGATCTCGAACTCTCTACTACAATTCTGCTGTGCTTAACCGCCCGGCCTCCTCGCCGATTCTGACCAGAAACTGGCGCACAGAGCTGGGATCGAACCCGCGCCTCTCTGCGCCAATCTTGGTAATCTGAACTTTAACCACGGGGCACCCTGCCCTTCCCGTAAATATAATGGTTCAAATGTTTCAAGGAAAGACGACGTATGGAAAATTCTTTTTTTTTTCTGTCGAATTTCATATTAGTGAATTCAATTTGCCTGCAACCCAAAACGATGTCAATGTAGCGAGTACGACTTCGACAAAGCCTGAACACGCCAGTTAGGTTTGCTGGGAACACAACGCCTTGGCGAATGGAAAGTGCAAAAATACATCTTACGTTGTTTACGCTATGTGATGCAATGAAGCTACTAGTGAGAAATGTATTAGGCTCCGCGTGAGGATTGATTCTCATAGGGAAAAATAATTTCAATGAGACCCACTAAAAGAGAATGAATCCGTTTTTAATTGTGAAAATAATTTGCAATTATCGAACTCAGCAAGTGCGAGAGTAAAAAACGAACTTCGTCACAGAAAATGGTTCAATTCTAAACGCGTCGTCGGTATACAATTATAGAACTATAGTACCGTACACTTCGTGTCTTTTTATTAGACTAATTTCAAGGCTTTGCGTTGGCGAGTGGATTAATTCGTTTCAAAGCTGAATTTTTTACGGTGTTCGATTTTTATCAGAGTTTTTTTTCGCCGTACGCTAAAGACAGAAGACTCCGAATGGTTCAAACCTGCGAGAGCTCTGCATTCAGCAATATCCTTGCTTATAAAATTAGGTTGAACGCACGCATCAAGTTTTTGTTTGCGGCCCACGCACCTAAGATGGCAGTTCATGGGGCAGACGAAACAAGTGATGGAAAGAGTAGAAAAGCAGACTATAGAAAACCCTTGGGCAGATCTGCTGCCTATAAAACGGAGTGGATGACTGTAGTGGGCAGTGAAGTTTCTGAAGAAAAATGCTTGGCGAATTACATCGAGTCCCGGCCATCAGGAAAAGAGGGAGAAAGCCCTATCACAAACTAGACGATATTACGGAGCTGCTAAGACCAGGTCGTAATTGAGGCAGTGTTTAGCGGAAGAGTAGGGCTTTCTCGGAAGACAATCGTATGAGCAGGACAGCCAAGAGGTGTTGTTCTCGGCGGTCTCTGTGGCGCGGCTAGGTGGTATTTTCACCCTCAATGATGATAACACATCGCTATTCTATCAGATCTTGCGTCAAGACGTCATGTGTCACTGTGCTTTTAGCAGCTCGATGGTCTCATCCCTCATTTTAAACTTCTGGATCTTGCCGGTGACGGTGACGGGAAACTGTTTCCTCATCATGACGACTGCCGGGACCTTGAAGGGCGCCACGCGGTCGCGGCACCACGCCTGGAACTCCTCCTGCGTGAGGTGACGCCCTTCCTGCAGGCGCAGCCACGCCACCACCACCTCCCCCAGGCGGGGGTCAGGGATCCCGAACACCTGGGGGTTTAGATACAGCACTCAGAAAAATGAATGGTACATGTTGTCATAATAATAATACTTTCTGCACGTAGCACTGATACGCCCTTTTGTCCAGGCTTAACTGGGTAAAGATGACCCACCTAAGGGCATCTGTACCATTCATCGAGCATCTTCATCCAGCATCTTCATCGAGTTGGAGGCTGGAGCAGCTAGCTATATGAAAATTGAAAAGTAGGCTGGAGGAGGAAGTAGCACGAAGAGTAGGCTGGAGGATAAGGTGGTAGGCAAGGTAAGCAGGTGGAGGAAGTGCTAGGAAAACTAGGCAGGACGAGGAAGTGGTAGAAATGAACGGAACGAAAAGGCTGCAAAAGTAGGTAGTTAAGAAAAAAGGCTAGAGGCTCGGTGATGAAATGAGTTGGGGGTAATAACAGTATGTAGGAAAAGTGTGCAGTCGCAAATGAAGAATTAGATGGAGGAATGAAAGAGATCACACCTGGGCTTCGAGCACAAAGGGATGCGCCATGAAAATGTTCTCCAGCTCGGCGGGGTAGATGTTCTCGCCGCCTCTGATGATCATATCTTTCTTGCGCCCTCTGATGAAGGCGTACCCGCTGGAGTCCATGGCAGCCAAGTCACTACAACATTGAATGAAATGTTTTAAGTATTTATAGTTAAAAGTAATATCCTAATGCTGCAGAAAGAAAAAAAATTAGATAAGCCATCGACCTATTGTTAGTGATAGCAGATGGAATTTTTCAGTATTATGTTGAGTCCTACAGGAAAATGACATCACCTGAACTAATCCGTTGCGCCAAGTGTTTCTTAGATCGTATTAACATGGTTTCGCTGTGAGGACAGAATGAACCAGTGAACAAACGTAACTTTGAGGTGTATCTCATAGAAGTGATACCAATAGATTATTAGATAGTTCTAATAATCTTATGGATAAAAACGTTTAATCTACAAGTTTCATAGTGTGCATTAGAGCTTAGATGGTTAGTAAAAAAAACAGCCTCTGTATGAACGCGTTCAAGAACAGACTAGATAAAGCTATGGAAAAATATATGTTCAGACTTGAAATGCCTAGCACCATATCGAACCCGGTGGAAGTCTAGTAGCTATTTCAAACTATCGTCAGTCATCAAAAGATCCGGTCAAATGAAACGATATTAGAAGTTCTGTGAACAAGGCACGAAAAGGAAAAGAATCGGCCACAGGCCACATCAGGCCTACACTTCAGCGCCGAGAACAATATGTTATGTTATGTTAAATGGGGAAAGCAAACTGCGCGTTCGCTCCTCGCTTAGTTGCAGTTGAATCGATTTGATAAATTATTGTCAATTTATTTATCCAAATAAACATTCAATTCAACGGTAATATCAAGAAAAATCTGTTTTCACAGAGAACAATGTACCTCTCACCCTGTCTTGAACCAATCCAAATTTATTCATTTATCCAAATAAACATTCAAATTAACGGCAAAATAATCCTTATTTTCAGGGATCAAGAAAAGCCTGCCTTCACTGCTGATTACGATGTACTTCTCACCCGGTCTTAAACCAATCCAAAGTTATTCAATTATATAAATAAACATTTAAATTAACGGCGAAATAGTACCAATTTTCAGGGATCAAGAAAAATCTGCTTTCACTTTAACGTTCACTTTTCACTCAAATCAACGGCAAAATAATCCAAATTTTCAGGGATCCAGAAAAACCTGCCTTCACTGCTGAATACAATGTACTGAACGTGCAAGAACTGCTGAATACAATGTATGTACAATGTACTTCTCACCCGGTCTTGAACCAATCCAAAGTCATTAATTTATCAAAATAAACATTCAAATTAACGGCTAAGTCTGCCTTCACTGCTGATGACAATGTACTTCTCACCCGGTCTTGAACCAGCGATCCTGGCTGATGACCTCCTCAGTTTTGACAGGGTCGCCCCAGTAGCCGAGGAAGACGCTGTAGCCTCGCACGCAAAGCTCCCCTTCCTCCCCCACTCGCACAACACGACCATCGCCGTCAACCACCTTCACCTGAGGCATGGAACTTCAATATAGACATCACCTTCACACGTAGAGCAACTCTTTTATCACACGTGAAGCAACCCTTTTATCATCTTCACACGTAAAGAGGCATGGAGCTTGAATAAAGACATCACCTTCACACGTAAAGCAACCCTTTATCACCTTCACACGTAAAGAGGCATGGAGCTTCAATAAAGACATCACCTTCACACGTACAGCAACCCTCTATCACCTTCACACGTAAAGCAACCCTCTATCACCTTCACACGTAAAGCAACCCATTATCACCTTCACACTAAAGCAACCCTTTATCACCTTCACATGTAAAGCAACCCTTTATCACCTTCACACGTAAAGCAACCCTTTATCACCTTCACGCGTAAAGCAACCCATTATCACCTTCACACGTAAAGCAACCCTATATCACCTTCACACGTAAAGCAACCCTTTATCACCTTCACACGTAGAGCAATCCTTTATCACCTTCACACGTAAAGCAACCCTTTATCACCTTCACATGTAGAGCAATCACAACACATTGCAACAGCCGGGGTTTCAAAATCAGACTTGATTAATCTCTAATATGCATTAAATGTAAAGAACCATCAAGACCGCCACACTCCTTGATAGAAATCAATCAAAGCTCTGGCAGATTCCTTCCTACCTCCCCACCCCGAATGCATTTAACAATAACTAACAAAATTATTCGCTTTGTGCCCATTTTCATTTCCTACTGTATTTTACTTTTCTCCAACGTTCAACTTTTTTCTCTCACTTCGTATCACCTCTTATTGTTTTTTCACATTCCTAGAGGCATCACACACACAAACGCACTAATAGATTGAACATTTATACATTAAAAATTTAGAACCGCTCCCACATACACTGCACTTCATACATGGACAAAAAACTTCCAATAATGACCCCCACAGCCTCGCTTCGGAAGGAAGCTTCCTATCTCGAGGTGGGACGGTGGGTACCCTACAGTCTGGGACCGGGTCGCCTGGGGCTTCCTACCTCGAGGTGGGATGACGGGTATCCCACAGTCTGGGACCGGGTCGCCTGGGGAGGCTTCCTACCTCGAGGTGGGATGACGGGTATCCCACAGTCTGGGACCGGGTCGCCTGAGGGTCGTTGGGGCTGCACTGGAAGCACACAGGGCTTGTCTCCGTCAGCCCATACATAACCTGGGGACAAATACTAAAAAATTATAGCGATATCTTAACGTATTATAGCGATATACGTAAATAGCGTACATATAATAGCGTTAAGTTATGGCGATATACGTATTATAGCTAAAGCATCAGCTGGCCCAAAGGAGGGCAAATAGACGGAACACGTCCAACGTTTTATCCGGGACCAGAGGGCGAGGTGACCTGCCTAGCGACGACTCGGAGACGGAGGACGACGAAGGCGGCGCATCAGCGTGACCGTGGAATAAGAAGTCCCAAACTTATCATAGAGTCATAGCGTATACGTATGTCCGTTTAGATGGAAAAACACGGAGGGCGAGTGCAGACATAACATAACTTAAGATTAACTTAATTCAGAGGACCTCGGGCTGGCGTATGACGAGAACGTTCGTAACGACATTCAACCAAACACGTAGAAATTTTTGGTATTTACTAATTTATGAAATTAAAATGGACATATTAAGGGATAGATTAAGTCTAAAAATGCAAGAAAAATTAAAATGTACTAGCTTTTGATGGTTACCGAGCCAACACAACGTATCAAATTATTGGCATCAAAATTGCTGGAATATTTTTCCCTATAATATTTCCCCCTGGAATATTTTTCCCTATAATATTTTCCCCCGGAATACTTTGCCCCAGAATATTTTTCACCATGGAATATTTTGCCCCTGAATATTTTTCCCCGTAATATTTTGCCCCGGAATATTTTTTACCGGAATATTTTCCCCCGGAATATTTTCCCCCGGAATATTTCCCCAGAATATTTTTCATCTATTGTCCAAATTTCCCCACACGCGCTCATCACACCCCCCCCCCCCCGGGCACAGCAACCACCACGCCCTATAGCCCACCATAAAGTCCTTCATGCCGAGCTCCGTGATGACAGCTTGCACGAGCTCCGGAGGGCACGGCGCCCCCGCCATGAGGCCCGTCATAAGGCTGGGCACCACCGTCCTGGTCCCGCCCTCTTCTGCGGCGCGACGCGCGGCTGCCAAGATGTCCACGTACATCGTGGGTGTGCCGTAGCAAGACGTCACCCTGCAGGTGCACAGGGTCAGGATTATTGATAGTTTTAAATTGGACAGAATATATGAAGGAGTTCGTAGCAAGACGTCACCCTGCGGGTGCACAGGGTCAGGATTTTGACAGGGTCAGTGCATTTTTTCCATAAATGAGAAAATGCGCTAAAAATGGAAGCGTCATATTTCGGCTTCTAATTTTGTCAGTTGAAACTGTATAGCGCCATGCATTTTTGGTCAGGACTATTGATAGTTTTATGTTTTGACAGAATATAGGAAGGGTTTCATAGCAAGACGTCACCCTGCCGGTGCACAGGGTCAAGATTAATGATAGTGTTAGGGAATTAGAATTTAGTATTTTCATAATTTTGTATTTTTGTAATTTTAGTTTTCCAATTAGAAATGCGGAAGTAGATTTGTAGGTTTTAGTCAGTTGGACAGAATATATGAAGGGTTCCGTAGCAAAACGTCACCCTGCCGGTGCACAGGGTCAGGACTTTTGATAGTTTTACAGTTGGACAGAATATAGGAAGGGTTTCGTTAATTTCTCAACGGCTTCACGCCACACAACTCCGTGGTTCATGCTACTATTGGCATAAAAAAAAGAAGCTTCATATTTTGGCGTCTAATTTTGCTCGATTCGACTGGATAGCGCCAAGCGCTTCTAAATTAAAGGATTAGAAACGAAAATAATGAGACCGTTCGAGGCACCGATATCGGGAATATTTGATAAATATTCAGGATTAAGTAAAGTGGTATGAACTGGAATGAGATAAAACTGAAAAGCTAACTGGAAAGAGATAAGAAAAAACTGGAGGACTGGAAAGCTAACTGGAAAGAGATAAGAAAAAACTAGAGGACTGGAAAGCTAAGTGGAAAGAGATAAGAAAAATAATGGAGGACTGGAAAGTTAACTGGATAGAGACAAGAAAAGTAATGGAGGACTGGAAAGTTAACTGGATAGAGACAAGAAAAATAATGGAGGACTGGAAAGAGATAAGAAAAATAATGAAGATAATCAATAATGGAAGAAATTTGGCTCTAGAGTACCCACGGCTCGGAGGTGAGGACGTCGAAGGCGGCGCGGGCGCTGAAGGCGGGCGATGGCAGCACCAAAGTGGCGCCAAACAGCGCCCCAGTGAGGGTGCCCGCCACGCACCCGAAGCAGTGGTACAGCGGCACCGGCACACAAATCACGTACTCCTGGCAAACAGTCCAGGGGCCATACTTTCAAAACTCGCTAAGTTAACGTAAGTACTTACGCTCCATTTTCTTGTCTATGATTGGTGGATTAGGCTTGATAGGCAGTCAATGATTGACTGATGAACTTACGATCTCCCAACTTTTTTTGAAAGTATGGGTCGAGCGCAAGAAATGGCTTCAAGTAAAACTTGAGGGGCATGGAATATTGTAGAAAATAGCGGCTGATTAAATTAAAAGTGGCTGCAAGGTTCTTCTGTGTAATAATAAGGTTACTAGGGGTAGGGGCTAGAAGTGGCTACCAAGGCTAGAGGTTCTAGGGCCTAGAAGTGGCTACCGAGTACTCTTGAGGAACATGGATGGTTGATAGAGCTACATGGTTGTCAAAGGATATATGTTTGAGAAGGTAGAGGCTAGTAGTTGAAAAGAGTAACTTCTGTAGAACATTTGGCCTTGCAAGACGTTTCAATGTAGTCGCTAACGGGGATGGTAGGTAGGAGGAAGGTAGTTATGTGTAATAAGGGTAGTAGGTAGGAAGGTAGTTATGGGTATAATGGGAGGGTAAAGGAATTGAGGTAGTTAATGGTAAAGGAAGTGTAAATGGAGTAAGAAAGTTAAGGTAAGGGGATCGAGGGTTAAGGAACTAAGGTATTTATGGGTAAGGGAAGGGTAAATGAAAGAAGGTACGTAGTTAAGGGTATGGGGAGGGTAAAGGAATTAAGTTATTTATGGGTAATGGAAGGATAAATGAAGGGTAAAGGAAGGAAGGTAGTTACAGGTAATGTCAGAAGACTCAAGATGTGTAGGCAAGAGAATTTACGCAGGTAGTTGTGTATTATCACAAGGTATTACACGGAGAATTTGTGAAGTGGGTACAACTGAAGGTAGGTTAAAGGTAGTGAAAGGCTCGTAAATATTTAAAGTAAAAAGCTTCCCACAACTCAAAGCGACTCAAAACGCTTGCGTTGATGTCAAAGACACTGAAAGGGTTGTTAAGATAAAATTCCACTGATAACACGCCGATTTAACACATATCGTAAAACTAAACAAATAAATTTTTCATATTATAAAGCAACTGTCAACAACTTAAAAAACGCCTACACAAAAATTTATGCTGCTACCGCATTAAGATTACTCGTCACTAAGTTGCAGCCTGTCAACTTGTGAATAAAGCCATCACAGTCTAGAATGCCCGTCCAACCAAAAGCCATCACAGTCTGGGATACCCGTCCAACCATAAGCCATGTCCNAACCTTGAGGTGGTAGCCGCTGCGGTAGCCGATGCCGTAAGCGTTGTTGACGACGTTGTGGTGCGACAACACCGCGGCCTTCGGGTTACCAGTTGTGCCCTGTTCGGGGGGATGGAGTTGGGGTTGGTAAGGTGGGTAAGGTAATGTCTGTACAACACCAGCGCTAATATCACTCACTGGAGCAAACTGAACGACACTTCAACATTAGATTCAACATTCGAGCCAACATTAGATTCAACATTAGAGCCAACCTGAGTTGGGTGTTGTAAGTAAATTAAACTCGACCGATCCTCAGGGAACTGGATTTCTTCCAGAGAAAAACACTAAGTAGAACTGAAATAATCATCAACGATGGGAACTGTTAATCAGCTAAGTGAAATTTTCTCAGCAGACTGACTTGAGTGAAGCTCGCTGAGAACCTTAATCCATAAACTGCCTCTAGCCGCACTCACTGAGGTGAACTGGATGCTGCAGGGAGCATCAAACTGCACCTCGGCCGCCCGCTGGCTCAGCAGCTCGCGGTGCTCCGCCGTGGCAAGGCACGACAGCTCCGAGAAGCTCAGCGTACCTCTGGCAGAGGGGAGCAAGACTCAGCAACAAGAGGGCATAGCGGCAAACCCTAATGGTCAACGTCTTAACCCTTCATCGGGGCACAAGGGTGGCCTAAACTCTTCATCGAGGCTCACGGGTGGCCTAAACTCTTCATCGGGGCTCAAGGTTGGCCCAAACTCTTCATCGGGGCCCAAGAAAGGCCTAAACTCTTCATCGGGCTCAAGGGTGGCCTAAACTCTTCATCGGGGTTCAAGGGTGGCCTAAACTCTTCATCGAGGCTCACGGGTGGCCTAAACTCTTCATCGGGGCTCAAGGTTGGCCCAAACTCTTCATCGGGGCTCAAGAAAGGCCTAAACTCTTCATCGGGGCTCAAGAAAGGCCTAACCTCTTCATCGGGGCTCAAGGGTGGCCTAAAAAAATCATCGGTAAGCCGGCTATAAGGAGTGTGGGGCAGATTGGAGTGTAAGTTCACCTCTTATGTGATACACAAGCAGTTTCACGCGATTGCGACCACATCATGCGCAATGCGCCTTTTCATCTCCTACTGTCTTTACCATTTCCCCTTCCTATTTCTGGCCACTCTGCGCCACCTCTTGTTCTCTTCCACACTTTCCTAGTTGCATCACAACAGCAACAAAAACAACTTCCTGTAAACCGCTCGAGCCGTTATCAGCGCGTGATAAGTGGACCGTTTCGCTCCTCCTTCCCCAGCACCCAGATATTAGCATGCTTTATCAGCGATTCTCGATATGCTACGAACTTACACTGAAGCCGCCGTTATAAAACTCTAGTGTTTCTATATTAACCAAACCAAATAGATTTGCAGTCTTCTATTTATATAATAACCATACAAAATAGCCTCGTAGATTTATTTTTAATTTAGCTACGTGCAAGAACTGAACAAGTTAATCAATGACTCATGCTCCTTTATCTAATTATTAATTATCAAATAATTCATCAAATTATAAAATGCTACTTTATCAAACTAATTAAGACGTCGATAGGCTCCGAGCTATTTAGTTTAGTTCCGTTGTCGAGATAAATTCTCATTATATAGTTTAATACGTACTCGCGTTTTTAAATAGCCGTCTTAATGATAATTTTATCTTATTGTATATATACATTATTTTATTGTGTCTTATGATAACAACACTCGCGGCCTAGCATGGCGGCAACCATCAGTGCAAGTCATTTTGCGCTCACTAGAACGTATCCTTTTTGGGAAGTAGGCGCGTGACAATATTGCTCCGGTTACTCATGACAGGCGGTAGAGGGTTAATAGTATGGTTATTATTAATAATGATTGCTAAAGCTTTAGTCTTCATTTAACGTAACTAAATATTTCACAACGAATATCACTAAACCATGAAACAGGTACTATTGATGTAACTACAGAGGGGGATTTTCGAAAAAAGCGCCATATTAAATTCTTCTATAGAAATACTTGCATGCGAACAACAAACCTGTTATCATCAAAATCGACCATTCAATGATTAGCAAAAACTTGAGAATTAAACAATGCCAGTTAGAGAGGTTACGCATAAATTTGTAAAGGTGGTGCATTGTAGAGTAGGGCATAAATTTAAATTTTATATACATCTTAATCGCATATCAGATCGAATGATTGCACTGATGAATAATGCTAGAGATCAACACTTACATAGTCTTTGTCTTGCTAGACAAACATGGATCAAATTGAAATTCGTTTCGTCAAAGTTAACATAATGGATCGGTCAAACATATGATTGTAGAAAAGATTCAAATATCTTACATTTTAAATATTACGTATATCATGAAATATACTTTTTCCAGGCAAAATATTATTTATAGACAAAATTAAAGTTCTTACACAAGATTTTTTTCAATGCTCCATTAAGCTGGCGGCTCTTCAGAAGCGAAGGAGTAACTTTAGAATTTGTTTTTTTCGCAACCTGAATCAGAATTCCATCTGTTTACATTATAATAAATTACTATATGTTTTATATTGCAATAAATATAAAATTTCTGTGCGAAAATATTTCGCACTATTCCGGTCTTTCAGTTGGTTGCAGAGGCAACAGTGAGCCCTGCGGCTAAACCATAGGTGCAGAGTTCTGTAGGCAGATTATAATATATTGAAGATAATATATATTGAATATATTATATTGAAGATTATTATAAAGTTAGCAAGACTGACTCGACATTTTTGAACGTTGGCGACATGACTAGAGCTTTGACGTCGACTTTCTTAAGGCAGTAGAGCAGCTCGCTGGCCACGTAACTCGGGTTGATGTTCACCTGGAGGGAGCAAGATATCAGATCGTGTAGAATAAAACTATAAATACATTATAGTTTTAAAGATTAAAGATTATGAAGCTTCCAAGCCTCAGTTATCGACGTCTACGTGGGGACCTCATTGAAGTATACAAGTATACTCATGACTTATACAAGGTCCCAGAAGGATTACAAGAATTTGAAACAAGAACCAACACCAGGGGCCACGGCTATAAACTAAAAAAACTGCGTTGGAACACATCCATGCGACAACATTTCTTCTCGCTTCGAGTCACCGACATGTGGAACAGCCTCCCTGATAGCATCAGCATCGTTGACGCTCCGAGTATGAACGTCTTCAAAAACAGACTAGACGAAGCTATGCAGGAGCATATGTTCAGTCTTGAAATACCTCGCAAATTACGGACCAGGCAATAAGTCCAGCAGCTATCTCAATCAATCGTCAGCTATGGAATTAAGATCGGGTTCCAAAGGCCGGATCCCTTGTGAATCAAGTCACGAAAAGTTCAAGAATCGGCAACAGGCCATGGGCTTATTTCTTCAGTGCCGACACTTCTATTGTATTCTATTATTTTTCTCAATCTGATTCTAAAATCTATGTTTACATGGGACAGAAAACAAAGTAATATGAAGTGCAGATTGTCGCAAGTGTAAAATGTTAGTTTTGACCGAGAAAAAAAAGACAAACCCACTCACCAAGACGAACCCACTCGAACCCGAATTCCTCACCAAGACTAGTCCAGCGATGCCCACCGCCCACTGCGTCACAACCCACTCGTAGTTGTTGCCGCTCCAGATGCCCACGCGGTCGCCCGCCTCCAGCCCCAAGCCCACCAAGCCCGCAGCCATTTCCAGGCTCTGGCGGACAACGTGACGGATTGGAGGAATTTGTTTAATAATTTGACGCACTAGCGGTATGAAAGAGAAGAATTTGTTTAATAATTCGACGCACTGGCGGTATGAAGATCTTTGGAATCATTGGATGAACATTATAGTGATAATTACACCTGAGTCGCCACAGCAATGCCGCTGCACTCAATCTCAATATCACTGTAGTTTACTAGAGACGATAACTTCCTGCCCACAAATACTCTAATTTCAGTAAGAGTGGCAGAAATGAATATAAAACCGTTTAAATCATTTGTATAGTAACATAACATGAAAAACCTGGATGCATTTCGTTAACTTCGTTTTATATTAGACTGCAGCGACTTGTCTATGTTATATGGCTATAATAATCATGTACACAAAGGAAACAAATGAGAGATAAACTACACGAAATACAGAGCCAGAAAATTATGAATATCATTTAAAAACGTGCTCAAGATGTTCAAAAACATAATTAATCATTTTTATTCTGTTTCTTATAACCCGTGGTAAATGTGTCATTTATTCTCGGTTTTATAGCTACCTATATTATTAAATCTCAATCTATAGATAAAAGAAGGCACCCACGTCTCGCTGGAGCTGCTCATACGTCACGCGAATGTCCTGGGCAACGGACACGACTGCCTCGCGCCCCTGGAACTTCTGACCCGCCCTTGCGAGGACCTGACCCATGGTGAGCCCCAGCAACGGTTCCTCCCCAGGCATCGATGCATAACTCCACTCAAGGGGCTCCAAGAAGCGTTGTGGGTGTACAGAAGACGATGCTTGGTGGCTGTACTTCCGTAATGCTCCCGCAGAAAATACCCCATATTTCTTTTTACTGGGACTGAATACAGAAGTCGTGCAGAAACTTTTATTTTTAGGAACACATGTGAAAGAACATCCACTATAAGTGTTTTTAGACCATTCAGGTGCTCCTGAGGGTTGATGCAGCGGCCGAATCGTGCTCCTACATGCAACACTAAAGGCACGACAAGAAGCATTTAAGCGTCCCAAGCTAACAGAATCATTTGAACGCAGAGTTAGTGGTCCGGTTGATAGCAGCAACCGGGTTCGGCACAGCTGTTGTTGCATCATGTTCACAACAGTCATGTCGTAAGCAGTTCAATCAAAGTAATCCATTCTACAGCAGCGAAATGCAGATAACGAATAAAATGTCCCTGAAATAGATTTCTTGTCCAGCTAATACATTTTCAGTAACCAGGGCGTTAAAGTCCAATCATCACTACTTGGCAAAATTACTATTTTAAACGATTAAGTACAAACTAATGTCAAAACGGATAATGTCACATATTCTGAAAAGTTTAGCTACTGCAATATACATTCATCGACCATTTAGTGCGAGTTGAAGAAGTGGCAAGATGTAGCATGTTGCCTGCCTCGCTACGTGGTGATATCATTCACTTAGGTTAGTTAGGTTTTCTAGTCGCCAACTAAGGTAGGCAGACTGTCGGGACACGCGTCAAGATACGAGCCCTACAATTATCGTTATCTAAACACCATGTTTATCTGATGTTTGAGCAAAAATCAATTACTGGATTACATAATAATAGACATCTACATCAGATAATTTATCAGTATATTAATCGAAACAATGGAAAGCCTATCGATCGAATTCGAAATTTTGGGAAGACTAATAAATAACCTGATTATTGAGAGCAAGCATTTGTTATTAGTAGCCGGAGGTGTGCATAAAAATGAAAAAAAAAATACAATAGAAAATTTATTTGTAGAAAATTTATTTTTTTAAATAGTGAATAAAGTAAATTTATTTTGTTAGAGTAGCCTGTTGCGGTAGGGCCTGTTGCGCTCCGGCCAGTTGTGCTCCGGCTCTGTGAACCAACTGAACGGCGCAGTTGTAGTGGGCGCTATGTGTCGAAAGCCGTGAAGATGCCCGGCTGCGTTACGCTCTGGAAGGTATATGAATCGCACTGTGGACTTGGGCTATGCTAACCTCTAGCTATCCACCCCTAGGTCATCGTGATCACAGATCATATCATAGGTATGCTAGTATTATAGTATAGTACCACTTCGAGTTGGAGGTATGAGGCCTACTTAACGTTCTAACCTTAATCTAAACTCTAAAGCTAAAAGCTTTACCACAACGGATAAGTCTTTCCTTAACACGCATAACATGGACTCCATGTCATAAGTAGACAAAGTTGTTAGAAAAGTTATCGAATAACTTGCATGTACATTGTACTAAAATCACTGAATGTGGCAACTGGCAAGACGCGGGGAATAGCAGAACACTTGCATTTACTCTTACAATACAAACAAAGATAGAATAGACATCTGAATCATCTCAAATTTTCATCGAACATCGTTGTACCAGTCTACCAGAAGACCACGATTAATATCACAAAATTGCTACTCTAAAACTTTAATCGGCAGAGATTCTATTACTGAAACCTGAAGCTGTAGTACGCTCACACAACACACACAGCACAGTGCACACTGTACTCGATCTCAGCAGTAACTGACTGCTGGGCGCTGACTCCCAACTTCACTTGCGAGTTGCGGCTCAAGGTCGTTTTACGCTTCAGTCTAGGCAACAACTAAATGAACAGCAGGTTTATTGGCGACAGATTGAGAGAATACTAGTTATCGAGCGGCTGCATCGGCAGTCGGCACATCTTCGGTCTTGAGCTGCAATTATGTTTATAGTTGCAAATCATCGCTCGTGTCGTAAACATATAATAAACAGTTCTCCGAACTCACCAGCGGACTCAACAGCAAAACATAATTTTTTAGCAAGTGCCCTATTCATAACTCCTTCAAGTCTGAACGGATCTTCATGAAATTCTAAACATGAGTTATAAATAGCATTGCACCAGTCTTGGAGTTTTAGCACATTCATTCCTTGCTTCGTTTCCTATTGAAACGCAATTTTTTATACAAGTGAGACAATCGTACCTCCTTAAATTTGGAACGGATTTGCATGAAATTTGAAACATGGGGCTGGGCTAGAAGTCGCTATACGCCATTTTATGGCTTTTCATTAATTTTTCAGCAGAATTCCAATTGAAAAGAAACTTGCAAAATAATATGTTGGTTTAAAATAGGTTAGGTTAAGATAGGTAAGTTAAGATTAGTTAGTTAAGGCTATTTGTTTTTACATAATATTAGCAATAATGTATCCGATCCTAGCTGAACCAAAACTGAACCAATCCTAGCTGAGTCTAACCTGAAAGGGCCCCACTGGTCCGTAACTAACGGACCGCAGTGGACTCCGTCGTATAAGGTTGTAACTAATCAATATTAAACATTTATTTGATCCGTCATGATATCCAATTGCTATAATCAATTTTCTGCGTATTAGATTAAGGACGTCTCATTAGTTGGAGAATCCTACATAGAGCGTAATGGTTTATTGGCAAAGAAACTGAAGCTGGAGTCTTGCCTAACATTTATTCCAGTATAAGCGTCTCACAATAGTAAGCATATAAATCAGCTTTGCATTAAATAATTTTAAAATCCATGGTTTAATTACTTACAGTCACAATTTATTCATATTATTTATTCTCAAATTTAGATTATTGCCCGTATTGCTGTCTCATGTTTGTGTGGTAGCGTAAGCTACCTCACTCGCCTAGTCAGCACTCCAGACTTAAATTGCCTGAAATTGAACATCCTAAATTTAGCGGTCCAGAGTTTTTTGAGAAATTAATTTACTCAATGTAAGATATATTAAGTTAGTTTAATCTAAATTAATTTGAGAAGTTTTCTTATCTCAAGCAAAAAGGATTTGGTCCTGCTTTTGCAATTTTATAACATTGTGCCAAATACTTCCAATGTGTATGCTGATGGAAGGAAATTGCTTTGCGATTGTTTTAATAGCAACATTAACCTGCAATTTTCTGTAATTGAACAGATGGTTCATTTGAAAATTTAAGCCATTTCAATGGGTGGCAGAAACCCGATCGTTCGTTGTCAAATAAATCGATTAGAAAACAATTCAGATGTTTTTGCCAGTACCATCTTTTCTGAGGTTGTAAAACAATTCAATTGAGATTGAATAAAAAAAATGGAATAACCGTGAAATCATAATGATGTCACAAAGTGAAATTGTGTAGAACGAGCTAATCAACCCAGGGATTTTAATCCTAGCTTAGGGAGCTCTAAAAATGTCATGGCGAAACCGTATTCGTGCTCGTGCAAAAACTGTAATGATATCATTCATCTGAAAGCATTTCTGGTCACAAAACAGGAAAATAAAATCATACCTCATGAGTAACCAACTGGCAATCTTGGCATGCCGGACGCAGCTTCGCGGGCTTCGCGCTCAGGCAGCTCTCAGTGCCACAAATGTCGTAGGCCGATAAGTGTCGACGCGTTGACGGGTCGTTGAGAGATGAAAATTTTTGTTGTTTTAGTAGAATAGCGACACTCTTTAATAATAACTGTCAAACAGCGACACTTTCAATATTATTGTTCAGATTCATGTCATGTAGAACCTTTACCAATCTCTTTAATCACGTTGTTGATTGTTGCACTTTGGTTGTAGCGCAAAATTCGAACAGAGCAAGCATGACGCAAGTCTAAGAATTAGTGTTTTGACTCCGTTTGTGCAGAAAAATACTGTGCTGTATTGATATTCATACTACAAAAACCTGCTAGACAGTTGGAAATTGAAACTTGGCTGTCTTATTCGGAAAATCAAACTATCGAAAGTAGAAGCCTTCGTTTGAAACCCTACAGTTGATAACAATACGTTTACAGCACGACTTGGGTACATCACATCGCAAGCCAGTTGAGAGACCTATGCCTATGGTAAAATGGTATGTTCACAAACTTTTATTCTTAAATATTGGTAAATACTCGTAAAGTTGTGATATCTTCTATGGTGCTTTTATTATTGTACATTTTCATTTATACCGACAAAAATTTTATCGGAAGATGTCTTTAGGATTTCTAATAAGAATAAGAGAAGATTCATAAGCTCATATAACGAAGCAAAGCTGCCAGATGCACGACTGAAACGACCGGCAAAGTTGCCTTATCTCATAGGATTTTATCTTCATTTGTTATCTGTTTGTGCAATATTTGACTACGTCCAATGACATATGAGCAGATGCTTCTCTAAACTCGCCGATCATCAATACGGATTAAAAGTTCAAATTGTACGGCTCGGTTCAAAAATAAAATACTGTGATGCTGTTTAGCCTATATGTTGAGATAAATTGTTCGATACGGTTCATCACATAAAGATCCGAGTAGAAGGTGACGACCTGCTTGACGACGTAAGTCATTAAGTGTTGCAGACTTGCAGCGATTCTAATTTTTCGCAACTGAGTCTCAATAAATGGTGAAAATGGAGTCAATGAAGCGGAATGATCGATCACATGCCAAGGATTAGGTTTGTGAAACAAAATAGGTCGTGAGGTACAATTATTATGGAAGGAATGATTAATTTGTGATCTGGCTACGTTCAGGAAATTTTTGATTTATTTTTGATTTAGTCAAGAATAAAATGTTTTCCTTTCAAAAATTACGTATCATTGATATTACAATTGAGAAGGAACACCGTTCAATTCACATGAAACCAATCCCCTTCACAATATCTAAATAATAACTTATCTGTTCATTTCAGAGAAGTGATGTGTGAAACGGTGAGACAGCTCAGTAATTTAAAGATGATTTACAAGCTCCCTCGCATGATCACGCTCATCCATCAGTAGAATCAGTTTACAATCGTTTTATAAATTGTACTGCAGTATGCTACAAGTGTTAACTGCTTATTCATTAATAGAATAGAAGTGTCGGCGTTGAAGAAATAGGCCCATGGCATTGACTGAAGTATTCAACTATCTATTGTATCGAAAAACCTCAGCACATTATCTAGCTTTTTTGTGATTATGTAATGGTATTCATCAGTTTAGTATTTAAATTTTAGTTTAAAACGTCTGAATAATTCCCCTGAACTTGCAGGTCACCGGGTACGCTGACTCAGTGATGACGTCACTCGCTTCCATCGCCGCAGTTCTCCCTCTACGCGTAAGGCGCGACGCTCGACAAGAACACATGGGCTGTTCTTAAAGCTATATATTAACTTAGGAAATAAATATAAACCTAGAAGCCTAAGGCGCATATTTTTTGCACTCACAGAGAGTGATTTTGTCGAAAATTTTAACTGTCATAAGAAAAGTGTCTTAAAAAAATCTTTAAAAGTGTTTTCTTAATAGTCTTAGGCTATTCGCCACTAAGTCCGACTCGCGCAAGCTCTGTAAAGATTGATATTTGTCTGCAGTTACCCATCTGCTCCGCTGAAATGGATGGCAATCATGAATGATTTTATTCAATTTGTTTTAAAGCTACTCATGAACGATTTGTCAGGTTTGTAGATCAAACATATCGTCCTAGATTTATCTGCATTTATTCATAGAAATTCCAGCATTTTAGCGTCCTAGATTATTTTTTTCAAGGAGTAAATCATGGGGGCGAACACATCCAAACATGGTGGCTGTAGTGCCAAAATATCCTCTTCTACATCAACTCGAAGCTCCTTCACGGCAAGCGGTGCGTCTATGAACTCTGGACCCGCTGCGCTTGTTCCATCGGCTGCGACCGCTACTCCGTCGTCAGTATCGGGCGTCGCCCCTCCTGCCGCCTCTACACCATCTGGTGTTACTGCAACTGGTATGGTACCGTCAGGCTCTGGTATTACTGCACCGATTTTTTCAAGGAGTAAATCATGGGGGCGAACACATCCAGACATGGTGGCTGTAGTGCCAACTCATCCTCTTCTACATCAACTCGAAGTTCTTTCTCGGCAAGCGGCGCGTCTACGAAGTCTGGACCCGCTGCGCTTGTTTCGTCGGCTGCAACCGCCACGCCTTCGTCAGTATGGGGTGTCGCCCGGCCCCCTCCTGCCGCCTCTACACCATCTGGTGTTACTGTTCCACCAGGCTCTGGTGTTACTGCAACTGGAGCTGCACCGTCAGGATCTGGTGTTACTGCAATGCCAGGATCTGGTGTTACTGCACCGTCAGGGTCTGGTGTTACTGCACCGTCAGGACCTAGTGTTAGTGCGTGTGTGACGAGAACATCCCCTGCTGGCACTTCAACAGCCAGCACAACAGACATTACGTACGATGACATCAATACGTTGAAGTTGTTCATGGCTCTGCGTAGAAGCAGTCCTGTGGCCAAAGTATTCGCTGCCGTCTTCGAAAGTTTGTCCCGTAGGGGCTCAGAAACTCTGGAACAGTATTGTTCTGTTCTTTTAGGTAACGATTACTTGAAAAGTTTCAATAAAAAGGAAAGAGATAAGTTGCTTCTCAACACTGTGCAAGATTACGACATCACATTGCTGTACAAGCTCCTGCAGAAATGCTGTCATTTGAGCAATGACACTAATTTTTGGTTAAAGCCTGGGGACTCGATAGAAAACATGTTGTATCGCCTGAAAGAACAACGTAACTTCTTCAGCCATGAAGCTGTGCAATTATCAAAAAGTGAACTTGATTCGCGACTGAAGAAAATTCGAAAACTTATCGAAGAAGTCAGTGACAAGGCTGGTGTTGATCGTGGTCTCAAGAATGGTTTTCTAGCTGAATTAGACAACATCAGTGTCTCAACGAGCTTACAGGCGGAACTTGCTGACCGTAATGCTCAGATGAAGGCGTTCAAAGAAGACATTCAAGACAGCATCCTAGATAGCAGCATCGCTGAGTTGAAGGACAGATACAGCACAATGCGAGTTCTATCGCCCATAACTTGGTTCACCTATGACGAGTTTCAGAGCATCACCATCGACAAGGTATTCACCAAACTAACTATGAGTCGAAGCAACACCACGGTTGATATTGGGAAAATTCTCTTGGTGAAAAACGAGCGCGGAGTCGATTGTTCCACCATAATCATAACAGGCTTGGCAGGTTCAGGTAAAACATCTTTATGTAGGTTCCTTATTTACAGCTGGTCGGGACAAACCGGTGAAGTGGACGAACTGAATGAGTACAAACTACTTATTTTCATTCAGTGTCGGTATGTCAAGTCTAATGGCTTCGCTGCTTTTATAAAGGAAGATTTGCTGAAAACTTCGTTTTATTTGGTGCCAGAGACCGAAGTTATCGAGATGCTGCAAAGGTTCAAACCGTTGTTTGTCATCGATGGTTACGATGAAGCAGACTATGCTGTCCAAAACCTCATCGTTGAAATTCACCATAAGTTTCCCTCGACTAAGATACTCATTACGTCCAGACCCCACATTTGTGCAAGTCTATCAGCCAAGCTTGTGCACAGTCTCGCTTGCCTCAACTTACTGAATCTTAAAATAATGGGGTTTGAAACTGGCTGCATCCAGGAATACTCTCACAAGCTTTTCTCTGTACTTAATAATGCATCAGGAGCCAACGCCTTCCTCGATTACATATTAAAACGTAGCAAACTGCAATCGATCATCAACCTACCACTAACTCTTGCTCTACTTATTTTACTTTGGATTGACGATCGTTCCCAAGTTGACGAGGTATCTTCTGAGGGCCAAATCCACGTCAAGATCATCGAGATGATGAAGCGACGGCTATTGACTAGACTTGGTGAAAAACCCTCTATTGCCCAAGCAAACCCATTGGAGTTGGAAAATAACGTTGATTTCTGGCTGCACCTTTTGGGTAAGATTGCTCTTGAAGGCATTGCAAAGCAACAGCTCTTCTTGGACGAACAAAACATGCGTTTTCTCAAAATGAAGTGCAAGAAACTTTCACAAACGTTTGACGTCGAAGACGCCATGTCTTCCATAATGCAGTGCGAGACGAGCATCTCCCTCTCAAGCTGCAAGAAGATTTGGTCTTTTATCCACGCGACGCAGCAAGAAATGATGGCGGCCCTCTATATTGTCAAAGAAATCGAAGAAGAAGACCAACCTTTTTCAAATTGCATTCCCGAGACCGAAACTGAGTTAAGCGAACAAATGGTAAACGTGATTCAATTTGCAGTTGAAATTTTGAAGACGAATGGAAGTTTGACTGAAGAAAGCGCTAAGTTCATTGCTTCAAAGTTTCCCTTGATTTCTGAACATAACATTGCTTTCATTTTTTCGATCCTTGATCTCGTCGATAACGACCGAATGTATGTTGAAATCTTCAAAAAGTTTTTGGATACCAATTCAATACCTTCTGAATTATCGTTCGTATGTATGCCGTTCACAGCACATTTGACCAAGCTAAATATTCTGAGCTCAGATGTGAGATTAACGTTCGTTGCTGAATAATGATTTTATATCTGCCCGCAAGGCACTGAATGCAGTTAGATATACACCGAATCTAGTCCTCCCTTCTGATTAGGATGACATTAAATCTGTAGTAAGGTTGTTTCAGGAGACATGTAAGAACGGATAGAAAGTTCGGTTCATCTACAGTTCTATAGGTACTTCTTTTGTCCACTATCTGAGGACTTGGTTCTTCACCACTCGCCTCACGTCCGGACGGGGACAGAGTTCTATACCTTCGAATTTCTCGGTAGCTTGGAGGCAATAAAAGAGCTGAGGTCCGTGCGTAGGATTGGACAGAATATCGACAAATTTTGCGATGTTGTTTATTCTTTCGCGCCTCAGGCCTATAACGACTTGGTTCAATAAGCCCTGAAGCCTGAAAACATTGGAAAAGTCGCATACACTTCCCCGCATCCATCGGTCATTTGAGTGGAATTTGACTAGGTATTTCGTTGATAACTTGAAGAAGCAGGGGGTGAAAGTTGAACAAATAGATCCCACGAGTAAATCATTGATTACCAACTGTGCACAAAAAGCAATGACAAAGTTTTACATATGCATACTACTCAACATATCAATTGTTTATTTAAAGTCTCCAGTATTAATTGATGAAAGTTCTTATATTGCGAGTCTTATGTGATGTCCTTATGTAGTGATGGTAACGATATTTCTCGGTTACCTGGTATTAAAATGTGTTGCAAATAGTTCGTTCGTAATTACAGATTATTTTAATTTATGCATGTTAAACATTGGATGCATATTTAACGCAGCCACCCTCTTTTTCTTCTTCTGAACTGTTGTAGGTACTGTTGACGTTTTATTTCTCATTCCGCACCAAAAAATGTGTAAACCTTTTTTACTGAAGAGTTGTATTATAGTGTACGTAGTAAAAAGATTTATTATGTTACGGTACTAATTATATCTGATACACTAATATTTGTTTCATTCCAATAGTATAATAAATAAATTCATCTTGTGAACTTGAACGCCTGACACGAGTATTAATAAACCCGATGAAGCACCAGCGTCATTACAATGGGATAGTTATAATTCAAGTTAATTTCTCAATGAATCTGCTAGTTAGATTTGAGATCAAGCTCTACAATTTCTGTCCTAATAGTTAAAAAAAATTATACAATCGTGCTTGGTGAGAAAAAGTATTGGCAAAGTCTAAGTTTAATTACATTTTCATGTTTTGCACAATGATGCTAATTCTTAGACTAAATTTATACACAGTTGAAACCTTTATTACTAATTCGTTGAAAAGTCATATGAAATCCACCGATCAGGCTGAACAGATAATTCCGTACCTTGTGTTTGCAAGTAAGAAAAACACACAAGGAAATTCACACATGTCTGTTTTTCTGTCCACTGCAATCAGTTAATTTCATTGAAATAACATTTTTGTGCAATTCTTACTTTCGAACTTTTAATTTTTTAAACGTATTGTGGTCAGGGCAATCAAGACGGCATTCGCATAAAATATCAGTTAATATAATAATAATAATAAGACAGTTAAACTATCCCATTCTTAATACGTAGAGTTCGTAGAGTTTTTTTTCTATTTTTCTCTAGAATACAAGTCAACTCCGAAAGAAGGCACGCCAAAAAAAAGATTATTTTATGATTTTAGTTGTAAAATTATTTGTTTTAGTTGTAAAAAAAATCCTTTAGTTAAAAAATTGTCAACTTCTACCTAGATGTAACTCAGCGGAGAAAGGCAATGATGTTCATAACTTTACGTGTTTTTCAATAACTGAAGGTAAAGAGTTTAATCCAAAGTCACGTTCTTCAACTTCCATGAGCATAATTAAAGTCTCCAAGCGTGACTTTCAGTTTTGATTTCATGCCTACGAGACTGAATGACTTAATTTCATGGAGTTTGGATCAGATGTGAAAGTCGTAAAGCGAGTGCTTAAATTCAACGGTGAACCAAAAATTGAAAGGTCACGATGGAAGGAAAACCATCTCCATTATCAAAGAGGGGAAGGAGATCAAATCAGCTTCTATCCAACACTTATTAAACTTACGAGTAAGTCTCACTGAAGTTGCGCATCACAGTAGCAAGTGGTACCTATTCAGTCCGGCCGAGCGCTTGTTAATACGATGAAATGCATCACAGTGCTCGCTATATAATTCTAGGACCCAAAGTCACACGAAAAAAATGTCCTCTGGCTCTGACACACATAATGAGAACGTTGATGCAATAATCATAACATATAAAGGACGCTTTCAATTTAACCCTTTCGTGACTGACGGGACTTCTCGGCACCAAACTACTAGGTACGAATAGCATTGACAACGGTAAATGTATTCGAGATGAAAGGGTTAATATAGCATAAACATTATCCTATATACGTATATTGCATAAAGGAGTGAATTACAACAATGCGTAATATAAACACACATTTTTAGCGCATTTTCTCATTTATGGACAAAATGTCCTATGGTTCTCGCCATGCCCGTCCGTCCGTCTGTTTTTCTATCCGTTTTCGTCGACGAGAAAACGCGCTCTCTGTCACTCACTGCAGTGAGTACTGAGTTATATTTCTTTAAGTATCTAGCGAAACAACGGCCATTTCGAACTGTCGTGAGACATTGTAGCACTGCAACTGCAAGGCAATGAAGCCACCACTGAAAGGCCTGCCTTTATGGAACAAATGCAGCCCCGAGATCCACGTAGGTGGTGAAGTGGTTACGGGTTGAGCGTCGAAATAAGGAACGGTCATTTGTGAAGCGTCAGAGTCCAGGTCTGTAGCTTGGAACTCGACGTACATGTCGCTGTGGCTGTCCATGCGGGAAGGAATTGTTGACTTGGATGGATCATCAGGTCTGTAGAGTTTCAATTCCTGGCGAGGAGATTTGGACATGACCGGCGTGTTGTCGTTGCTCACCCAGTAACTCAGGTTCGGGTTCAACTTCCCGTCCACGAAATTAATTGGAGTCACACGAATCTGTATCAACAACGAGTGAGTCCATAACAGCGAGTAAATTTATAGCAATGAGTAAATTCTAATGAGTAAATAATAACGAGTGAATTTATATATAGGTACGAGTTAATTTTTATTAAGGAGTGAACTTATATCTACGAGTAAATAATAACGAATAAATTTATAGCTACTAGTAAGTTATAACGAGTAAATTTATAGCAACGAGTAAATTATAACTAGTGAATTTATAACAATCAGTAAATTATAATGAGAAAATTTATAACAAAGAATAAATTATAACGAGTAAATTCATATCTATGAATAAATGTATAGCACGACAGAAAAGCATAAGACTTTCGCTATTCATACTAAGAACCTAGGTTGTGCTAGCGCTTAATTTTTCATAAATATAAATCCCTGTTATATTTGTTTTTTAACAAATATAACACTTTAATTTTAGTGCACTTTAAATCGATGTACCTTAACAAATGTACTTTAACAAATCGCTGTTATATTTGTACTTTTACAGTTCTTTATTCAAGCGAAATTTTAACATCATCATCAGTATCACATTATTATCATCCTACCTCGAGATTAGCATGCGGTCCCAGCATGCGGAAGCGCGTGCCGGTGATGACGTGGTCGGTGGGGGCCTTGAGTTCATCCAGGTCCATGGAGCGCGCCTCGTACGTCAGAGTTTGGTAGTGCTGTCCCTCCACGAACGCGGTGCTGCAACAAGAGGGTATTAGTTACCTCATTGAAGATGAGATAAATGAACGCGATGCTGTAACAAGAGGGGTATTAGTTACCTCATTGAAGATGAGCCAAATGAATGCGATGCTGTAAGGCCTGTAACAGACGGAGCATTAGTTACCTCATTGAAGATGAGCCAAATGAACGCGATGCTGCAACAAGCGGGGTATTCGTTACCTCATTGAAGATGAGCCAAATGAATGCGATGCTGTAAGGCCTGTAACAGACGGAGCATTAGTTATCTCATTGAAGATCACCCTGGCAAGTGTGTACATGATAGGACTTGATGATAGAGACTTGGCTTGAGGATAGGAATCAAGCTATTTTACTTGTTCCCATGCAGCCAAACAACTCACGTTTCGCAATTACGGTTCGGTTGGTGCGCAACAGCTTATTTACTTTATCTCCAAACAGATGAATCACTTTCTTAACTCAATGATGACAAAAATCGTGCCATAACATACACCAGAGAACAGAAATTTTGATTAACTAACGACTGCATTAAAAATAAATCTTGATAAGCATTAATTTCAAGCAATGTTGGACAAAGAAATTGCATTTGCTTATGACTAGCAGCAACCTGTCGACGTCGATGGGAGGCACTGAGATCCACTCCAGTGATGAAGGATCCACTTGCCCCTGAGGCATCGCTCGTCCTTGCTGCACCTCCATCATAACCACGCGCTTATGCTTGCTCAGCTTGACTCCTGTCAGCACCTGAACGAAAAAATAAACAAATACAATAGTTACTGGAGTTAAAAACTTAAACTTTAAACTTAAATAACAAACTTTAAACTCAAATTTCAAAAGGAGGGAGACTAGGTTGCGGAATATGTTCAAGTAAGGCCACTAAGGCAGGCATCTAAAGTTTCGAAAGCTACGTAGACTTTCCAAAATTTTTGGTTCACTTCTGAGTTCCTTTCAGGTGTTAGCTGTGCGATTAGTAACCAGTTTAAACCCTAACTAACTAAAACATTTCAAGGAACTCATCCAATATATGTGACAGAGAAACGACACCAACGTTCTTATGGTAACCCACCATGCCTTCGTCGACGTTAGTCTCGGTGGCGACGAGACTGAGGAAGCGGTCGGACGACTGCGATGTTGGGTCGTCGCACAGGCACATGCAGTAGGAACAATGCACCAGGAAACGCCACCACGAATCCACCTTCTGCTGGTCCGCGCACGAGTTGCGCACGCCTAAAGTTCGTCCTGGGAACAACGAAATTAGTCGTTATTACAAAACGTAATAACGTACATCCGTAGCGCTGTTGGATATCACAGTACAAAAATCCTGCTCCTTTTAATTCTTCAATTACGGATACCTTTATCGTCTTCACTTGGTCGGCGCTCGAATTGCGGTCGTCCTAAGTTCGTCGTGGGGACAACGAGGTTGTCTGTGATAATGAAAACTAACGTGCAAAGGAAAAGCAAGATATCATGGTACCCGAAAACCGGTCTTTTTAATAATGCTTCGGCTACGGATACATTACATGTCCTCACTCTTATCCGCATCCATAGGCCTGGGAATGAGAGTTATCGATAGTTGAACTTATATCATTAGTTTCTTCCACCATAGTCAGTCTGAAGAGGTAAAATAGTACCAAGCGCAAAGAAAATATGTTGAATTCACTTGACTTTTTCTTTGCTTTTAAAGTCGAGGGTAACACTGATATAAACGGCACACTTCGTTCCGCGAAAGTGGGGATAAAAGTAGAATAAAAAATAGTAGGAATAAAGCTTGACTTAATTTTGAAGGTTATTGAATAATTAGCGCAAATAACTTAGTATAATATTTACCATTTTCATAATGTAGCCAATCATAGCGTCGATATGGGTTTGATGAGTAGCAAACGTCTGCATCAGCGTGTATGAATCTGGAATCAAATGCTGAGTTAGTTTACAAAAAAAATTATTTCGTGATCGTATATTTTTATTGGAAAACAAGATGATACATGCAATAAAAAGTTTAGAACTAACTTCTTGAACGATAAACTCTTAACTTCTATGAACGATCTCCTCTTAACTTCTATGAACGATAAGGAGGTTTGAGCCGGATTACAAGGCGGCTAGAAGATTACCAGTAAAAATTAAACTCATTTATATGAGTACCGCGGTCGTTTTGCATAGACCATCGGCCACAATTATTCACGGAAGGAAAAAGTGAAGTGTTACTGTAGAATTGGAAGTCGTGCAAACGGGACTTTGGATGACAGTATTTCGTTCGATGAAAACTTCTAATTTTTTATCGTTTGAGACTAACCGAAAAGATGAATCAGGAATAGAATAACAGTATTTATTAAATAATTGAGAAATTCTTGGTTTCTGTCAATCATCGACAATGTTATGTTAGAACAGCAGTCATGCAAGACTTGAAAATCCCTCGCGATGGCAAAGTTTGTTTTAAAAATTAGATCAGTACTCACTGCAGTGAGTGACAGAAAGCGTATTTTCTCGTCCGTCCGTCCGTCCGTGAAGTCACGGACGGACGGACGGATATGACGAGCTAAAGAACTTTTAAGAAGAACTACCGGTAGTGCATTATAGCGAGAACTGCATTAAAAATTAATCTAACCTGCAGTTGTGCATGGTGCCTTTACACGGTTTCCTGGAGCCGCATATTTGTTTGCTGGGCGCATAGCAGCCCTGAGCTCGTGCGTGCTCATAGTTATCGCACTTACTCCAGCAGGTGCTGCCCTCGTTCAGGTCAACCTCGTTCTCCAGGTGACCCTGTCATAATTAAACAATATTAAAATCATAAAACCAATTCAAATTAAATCATAAAAACAAATTCGAATTAAATCATAAAAACAAATTCAAATGCGACTTGCATCAGAGAGACCAATGGTTCAGGTCAACCTCATTCTCCCTGCAATAATTAAACAATATTAAACATAAAAACAAATTCAAATTAAATCATAAAAAGAAATTCAAATGCGACTTGCATCAGAGAGACCAATGGTTCAGGTCAACCTCGTTCTCCAGGTGACCCTGTCAAAGCTCCCTCGCATGATCACGCTCATCCATCAGTTGAGTCAGTTTACAATCTTACCATAAATATGCTGCAGTAGCTATGGTACATGTGTTTTTACAATCTCACCATAAATATGCTGCAGTGTGATACAACATACAAGTGCTTTTACAATCTTACCATAAATTATGCTGCAGTGCAGTATGATGCAAGTGCTTATCCATCGGCTGAGGTAGTTATCTGTGGTGTCGAAAAACTGCAGCACATTATCTAACTTCTTTTGTGATTATGTAATCGTATTCATCAGTTTAATACTTCAATTTCATTTAAAACGTCTTATGAATTCCTATGAACTCGCAGGTCACCGGGTACGCCGACTCTGTGATGACGTCACTCGCTTCCGTCGCCGCAGCTCTCCCCTTCGCGTGTGGCGCGACGCTCGACAAATCGGCCACAATTATTCACGGAAGGAAAAAGTAAAGTGTTACTGTAGAATTGGAAGTCGTGCAAACGGGACTTTGGATGACAGTATTTCGTTCGATGAAAACTTCTAATTTTTTATCGTTTGAGACTAACCGAAAAGATGAATCAGGAATAGAATAACAGTATTTATTAAATAATTGAGAAATTCTTGGTTTCTGTCAATCATCGACAATGTTATGTTAGAACAGCAGTCATGCAAGACTTGAAAATCCCTCGCGATGGCAAAGTTTGTTTTAAAAATTAGATCAGTACTCACTGCAGTGAGTGACAGAAAGCGTATTTTCTCGTCCGTCCGTCCGTCCGTGAAGTCACGGACGGACGGACGGATATGACGAGCTAAAGAACTTTTAAGAAGAACTACCGGTAGTGCATTATAGCGAGAACTGCATTAAAAATTAATCTAACCTGCAGTTGTGCATGGTGCCTTTACACGGTTTCCTGGAGCCGCATATTTGTTTGCTAGGCGCATAGCAGCCCTGGGCTCGGGCGTGCTCGTAGTTATCGCACTTACTCCAGCAGGTGCTGCCCTCGTTCAGGTCAACCTCGTTCTCCAGGTGACCCTGTCATAATTAAACAATATTAAAATCATAAAACCAATTCAAATTAAATCATAAAAACAAATTCGAATTAAATCATAAAAACAAATTCAAATGCGACTTGCATCAGAGAGACCAATGGTTCAGGTCAACCTCATTCTCCCTGCAATAATTAAACAATATTAAACATAAAAACAAATTCAAATTAAATCATAAAAAGAAATTCAAATGCGACTTGCATCAGAGAGACCAATGGTTCAGGTCAACCTCGTTCTCCAGGTGACCCTGTCATAGGTAAACAATAATCATAAAAATATAACTCAGTACTCCCTGCAGTGAGTGACAGAGAGCGCATTTTCTCGTGGACGAAAACGTGAAGTCACGGACGGACAGACAGACGGACGGACGGACAGACAGACAGACGGATAGACGGACGGATGGACTTGATGAGCATAATAGCACCTTTTTTCCATAAATGAGAAAATGCGCGAAAAATAGTCAAAAAATATAACTCAGTACGGTACTCACTGCAGTGAGTGACAGAGAGTGCATTTTCTCGTCGACGACAACGTGAAGTCACGGACGGAAGGACAGACAGACAGACGGACGGACAGACAGATAGACAGACAGACGGATAGACGGACAGACGGACATGGCGAGCACAATAGTGCATTTATTCCATAAATGAGAAAATGCGCTAAAAACAAATTCAAATGCGACTTGCAGCAGAGTGACCAATGGTTTAAGTCAACCTCGTTCTCCATGTGGCCCTGCCATCAGCATATTTATTTTCATCTATCATATTTCTATTAATAAAATATTCAAGTGGCCCTTTCATAAGCATAGGTATTAATCATATTTCTTTTAATAAAAAATAGGTAGCTCTGTCGTAAGCGCATAATAGTCATATTTCTTTTAATAAAATAATGTGCGTTAAAAAATTACTTTTTAAAGACAACACTTCTAAAGAGGCCAGCATCTCCGATGTCACACAAGTACTATGAATTTTTAATTTAATGTTTAAATATTTAGATTTTTTTAATTTTTTCATTTAAAAAATTTAAACATTTTTAAAATTATTTATTCTGTCAATTGATTCAAGCATTGTCTCCGACTCTAAGCAAGTGTGTAAAATTTAAGATCGATTGGATATAGGTACCCTATCAAAACTAAAAATTTTGATAGGGGAGGTATAATAGAAGTAAGGTGCGTAGAAGTTAAATATCGACTATAAGATTAATGCAGACAAACAAACAAACGAGAAGAGAAGTTAAAGAGAAGTGTTGTAAAATAGGAAAAGAAGCATGAGCCAGTGACTCGTATCTTCTCATTTCAAAATTGATGACTCATGCATCATGAATTGATCAATGATCCGATGAGTCAACAGTTCAACGTTAATAAAAACATTACTGTTAATATTTGCAACATCCAACAGATAAGTTTTAGTATGAATACTCGAAGTCAAGGAGAGTATCGGTCTATTTATATATATATGAGGGCAAAAAATACAGCCTTACCTCACTAATGCTTCATTGCGTTAAGATGGCAATTAGGTAAAGACATTTTCAAGTAAAACACACTTCAGAATCTTAAATAATTTGCTAACTGTACCTACTTTCTACTCGAATGTAGACAATATACTATTACTCATCTGTCAGTTTGAAAAATTCATTCACTTTAGAAACGAGTTCTATTAATAATCACTCCAAGTCCGGTATATCAATAATTATTATCGAGCACTAAAGTAAAAACAGCGCAATGTTACACGATATAACATGAAGTTACGCTGACTGAAAAGCTCAGATAACGTCAATCTTAAACAATCTGTAACTTCCAAAATCATAGATAACCTCTTCAGAAATTCAAAACATCCCTCTAATTGCACTGTTCATTAAAGACTTTCTTCACCTGCAGCAGTTCAGTGAACAAAGGCATTCTTCTTTCTTTGACTATGTAAATCAAAGGCATTCTTTGATTATTTGATTTACATTTACGAAATTTAATTAAAAAAATTACAAATTTAAATGATTTACATTTACGAAAATTCTTTTATTATGTAAATCAAAGGCATTCTTCACCTGCAGCAGTTCAGTGAACATGACGAAGGTGTCACCAGCTCCCGAAAACATAGATTATCTCTACAGAAGTTCAAAGCATAGGTACCTCTAATTGCACTGCTCTTCAAAGGCATTATAAATTCTTTTATTATGTAAAGTAAAGGCATTCTTCACCTGCAACAGTTCAGTGAACATGACGAAGGTGTCACCAGTGCGAGAGTAATGCTCGTACAGAGTGCGTGACAAGTTCTGCTCCACGCTGAAGTTACCTGACAAAATACGAGACTGAATATCGTCTTAAGTAGCTCATAATGTTACACAATTCAACTTGCGTGCGTGACAAGTTCAACTTGCGTGCGTGACAAGTTCTGCTCCACGGTGAAGTTACCTGACAAAATACGAGACCGAATATCGTCTTAAAGTAGCTCATAATGTTACACATTATGAGCGAAAGTGCGAGCGAAAAAGCGAAAGTGCGTGTAATGGTCGTACAGAGTGCGTGACAAGTTCAGCTCCACGGTGAAGTTACCTGACAAAATACGAGACCGAATATCGTCTTAAAAGTAACTCATAATGTTACACATTTCAACTTTATTAAAAAGCGAAAGTGCGTGTAATGGTCGTACAGAGTGCGTGACAAGTTCTGCTCCACGGTCAAGTTACCTGACATAATACGAGACCGAATATCGTCTAAAGTAACTCATAATGTTACACATTTCAACTTTGTTAAAAAGCGAAAGTGCGTGTAATGGTCGTACAGAGTGCGTGACAAATTCTACTCCACGGTCAAGTTACCTGACAAAATACGAGACCGAATATCGTCTTAAAGTAGCTCATAATGTTACACATTATGAGCGAAAGTGCGAGCGTTAAAAAGCGAAAGTGCGTGTAATGGTCGTACAGAGTGCGTGACAAATTCTACTCCACGGTCAAGTTACCTGACAAAATACGAGACCGAATATCGTCTTAAGTAACTAATAATGTTACACATTTCAACTTCATTAAAAAGCGCGAGTAATGGTCGTACAGAGTGCGTGACAAGTCCTGTTCCACGGTGAAGTTACCTGACAAAATATGATACCGAATATCATCTTAACCCTCTACCGCCGTATATATAACCCTCTTTACCCGCATTCAATTACCGTTGTATATTTAACCCTCTACCGCCGTGTGTCACTCTCCGGGAACATAACTTTCAACTTAACCCTCTACCGCCGTATGTCACTCTCCGGGAACACAACTTTCAACTTAAATTATACGTAAACTATTGAGTGTAGCAACCTGAGGACGTTTGTACGCAACAGAGAACATTTTAAAGTTGTCGTACGTGGCGGCAACCATCAGTGCAAGTCATTTTGCGCTCACTAGAACGTATCTTTTTTGGGAAGTAGGCGCGTGACAATATTGCTCCGGTTACTCATGTCAGGCGGTAGAGGGTTAAGTAACTCATAATGTTACACATTTCAAGTTCAGTAAAAATTATCGAGAATCGTCTCAAGAAACCGCAAACGTTATACGAGTTAACTTCATTAAAAATTATACCGCACTGAGCATCGTCTACGGGAACTGCAATTGTTGCACCTGCTTACTTCTTTAAGAATTGCATAAAAAACTTGGGTGTGATAGTCGCCTATGTGGTACTTTTGCCATATTCATTTAAATGTAACGTACAACATTACTTTGAGGTCAGCCCGCTCCGCTAAAGAGATAATTCAAGTCGTTAGAGTGTAAATCTAAACTAGGTTAATTTCGCATGTAGACATTTACAGAGATATTTCATAAAATAATATCAATATTGAGACTTCACACAGTAAAATTTCACATTCAAGTGTGAAAGTACAAATAGAAATTAGTAAAAGATCATTGAAGCAGGAATAAAAATTGTCCAAAAAGATCATCAATCCGTCAGTTCTTTCTTTAATGAAAATTTGTCGTTGTCGTTTCGATTTCTATACGTCATTTTAGAAATCAATAAATTTATCAAAATAAATTTAAAATATGCTCGCACGATCATTGGTTTTGAAATATTTGATGTTGTACAAAAAAAAAAAATCCCGTCAATATATGGTAGAAAAACCACTTTGGCATGCTGGCTATAAATCAAAGTCTCAAAGTTAGATAATTAATTAATTGGCTATATGGCACTTCGCTTCCATGAAATGGAGGGCGCCGATTAATGAGGTTTGTCGATTTTCTCCAAACGTAACAGGAACTTTCATGAAATGTGTATACAACAAGGAAATCAGTAAATTGTTGAGAATTATAGTCACATCGGGGCTTTTTGTTCTAATTTTGACACAGCATCAATTCTTTGCAGTCTTTGACCAAGCACTGATCATTGTCGTATAGTTAGGGCAGCATATAAGCATAATTGACGTGTCAAGAACCCACCTTTGTCGTATAGTTTGAGGAGCATATACGCATAATTGACGTGTCAACTACCCACCTTTGTCATACAGTTTGAGGAGCATATAAGCATAATTGACGTGTCAAGTACCCACCTTTATCATACAGTTTGAGGAGCATATAAGCATAATTGACGTGTCAAGAACCACCTTTGTCGTATAGTTTGAGGAGCATATAAGCATAAATGACGTGTCAAGTACCCACCTTTATCATATAGTTTGAGGAGCATATAAGCATAATTGACGTGTCAAGAACCCACCTTTATCATATAGTTTGAGGAGCATATAAGCATAATTGACCATGGCGTATCCGCGCGTCTGGGTAAGCGCAACCAAAGAATAAAGGCCAAACAGCATCTGCTGGTCGCTCTGCTGCAAGTCGCATTTGTTGTAGCCCTGTTTGAGAAAAATAATACTGTAGTTGTTTGGATAACGTACGTTACGCTTTAAATTTCATCCACTGATATCGTGAACACGAACCTCTCCAGCGCTTCAGAACGAGATACAGCCATAAAAATAAATAAAAAATGCAACTCAGTACTCACTGCAGTGAGAGCGCATTTTCAAACGTGGAGTCACGGACGGACGGACAGACAGACAGACGGATAGACAGACGGACGGACGGACATGGCGAGCACAATAGCGCATTTTTTTTCATAAATGAGAAAATGCGCTAAAAATAGTCAAAAAGTAATCTACTTTCTCCCACGCAATTCTTCCAGTAAAGCCAGTACCTATTTCCAGTATAGCCATTCTGACCTTCAGTACTTGCTGGAGCATCTTGAACACACTTGGTCGCAGGGAGAGTTCGGCGATTTCTTCAGCACTGCGTTTGTAACCGTACATGCATAGTCAGCAGTTGAGATTTGTTATGTGTTGAAATATCTTCACCTAAGAAATGGCTGCTAGTAAATAGCTTCTCATAGGAAATGGCTGATAGAAAATATTGAATAAGTGTCGTCAATATCCTTGCAATAAGTCCAGCAGCTATCTCAAACAATCGTCAGTTATGGAAAAATCGGGTTCCAAAGGCCAGATCCCTTGTGAATCAAGGCCCATACTTTCAAAAAAAGAAGAGATCGTAAATTCATCAGCCAATCATTGACGGCCTTTCAAGCAAAATTCACCAATCATAGACAAGAAAATAGAGCGTAAGTACTTACGTTCACTTAGCGAGTTTTGAAAGTATGGCCCCAGGTCACGAAAAAATACAAGAGTCGGCAACAGGCCACGGACCTATTTCTTCAGGCCATGGGCCTATTTCTTCAGTGCCTACACTTCTATTCTATTCTAAGTGGATGCAGGAACACTAGATAAGAAAATAATATAATAATAACACTTCTATTCTAATATGAGCTCACCTGGGGAACAGGAGGGTAGTCTGGGGCGACCATGTTGTGTATGTTGGCCATGAGGTTGATGATGGAGCCTTGCTCGTGCGACACGACGCTCTCAGCAAAGTCAAGCAGTGTGTGCTTTTCAACCTATAATCAAAAATAAATATTCGGAATAACATAAAAAATATAACTCAGTACTCACTGCAGTGATTGACAGATAGAGCGCATTTTCTCGTGGACGAAAACGTGGTCACGGATGGATGGACGGACGGACAGACAGACAGACAGACGGACGGACGGACATGACGAGCACAATAGCTCATTTTTTCCATAAATGAGAAAATGCGCTAAAAATTAATATTCAGCATAACATCCTCAACACAACTTCTATAATAATTGTATGACGTGGCAAGTGCACTTTTAACGGGTAATTTTGTTATGGGACATCTTGATATTAAGTTCACACAATTAAATGAAATTTGTACGATTGCTTGGAAATCAACACATTTTAGAAGAAGAAAAGACGATTATCCATGGACATTATTTCTACAAGCAAATGCTTTTCACATGTTTAGTTTAATTTTTTTTCTTCACGTATTTGTATATGAATAACAAGGATAGCACAGTACCTAATAATCATTCGACACATTCGTGAACCGTGCCCTTCTTCGAGGATAAAAACTTACTTAAAAAAAAGCTTCACTCTTTGTCATACAATATTCTTACCAGACGCCTAAGGATCTTGTGCTTATGGTAGTGCACGAAGCGATGGTAGTGCACGAAGCGATGGTAGTGCACGAAGCGATGGTAGTGCACGAAGCGATGGTAGTGCACGAAGCGATGGTAGTACACTTACCTCATCCTTGTGCTTCTGGTAGTGCACGAAGCGATGGTAGTGCACGAAGCGATGGTAGTGCACGAAGCGATGGTAGTGCACTCACCTCATCCTTGTGCTTCTGGTAGTGCACGAAGCGATGGTAGTGCACTCACCTCGTCCTTGTGCTTCTGGTAGTGCACGAAGCGATGGTAGTGCACTCACCTCGTCCTTGTGCTTCTGGTAGTGCACGAAGCGGTGGTAGTGCACGAAGCGATGGTAGTGCACGAAGCGATGGTAGTGCACGAAGCGATGGTAGTGCACTCACCTCGTCCTTGTGCTTCTGGTAGTGCACGAAGCGATGGTAGTGCACGAAGCGATGGTAGTGCACGAAGCGATGGTAGTGCACGAAGCGATGGTAGTGCACGAAGCGGTGGTAGTGCACTCACCTCGTCCTTGTGCTTCTGGTAGTGCACGAAGCGATGGTAGAGGGAGTTGATAGGGCGGGTGTAGTCCTCCAGGGAGTCGAGCATGGCCTCCCACCGCACCATGTCCGGCAGCTCCCGCGCCATGTCACGCAGGCTGCGCTCGATGCCCGTCAACTATACTCGGTAAATTTTGAACAATTATAAACAATTATAATTTAAACAATGATAAACGTAATATGTACG